GCCAAATCTCACGCATTGTTTTTGCACGCAATGTAAAATCCCGACGCAAAGAGGCCACTGACACCGATAGACAAGACAAGGCAGGTTACTTTCGATATCAAAGTCTCAGCTTTCAAATTATGTCAAGTTTATTACGAAATTCAAACAATAAATACCGTTTTGGCGCTCTTTAAAGTGACGTGACAGATCGCAGTAGCTCCTCGGTTCAAGCGGCACGTGAACTGATCTAATTAAAGCTCTTCTTTAGTTAATAGTAATTAAATAAACTCGAATGAACTATGTTGTATATGTATACAGTGTACTAAACTTAATGAAATTCTGTTTGGTCACCAAATGTTTTGAGAATCACAATACACTTATTGAGATGGAAGTTTTTTTGTTTGTTTTTTGCAACCCCCAATATTTTAAAATCCTTTCTAATGATTTTAGGCTGCCTGCTGAACATGGGTTTGAGCTATTATATTTCCGAACTCTCAAAGTTCAGATTAATGCATTTAACTTTAAAATTGCCCCCAGATCTAATCAGTGGCGTAGGCAGAAATTGTATTTTGGGTGGGCCAGTGAAAATGTGAGTGGGCCTATAGTTTTTCATAGAAAAAAATGACTTCACTAATAATTAACCTTAGAGAGTAGAAAAATTAATAGACAAACTGCAAAAACAGTTACACCTTTATATTCGGCAAATCATCATGTTCAACCAACAGAGCTTAATAAAGGCTGGACAAACCAGTGTAGACAATAACCTGTCTATTTTATTCAGGCTAGTCAGCAGTGCAAAGACAGTTCACCCGAAAATAAAGTAAGCTAAAATAATAATATCACAGTTAGATCGGCGGGTAAACCCGAGTCAGGCTGATCGGGAGAGAGGGAGCAAGAAGCAGCCGCCACCAGCACCTGACTAGCCTTCTCCTGGGGTAATGAGTCTGAAGAACTGGGCTGTGTGGACTCGGTAGATGAAGGCAGTGGCGTGTCTTCTTCCTCAACTCTTGCTTTTTTCAAATAGCACATTAAAGAAAGTTGTTTAGCCATTATTGTGGCGCCGACGCCGCTGTGAGTTTTCCTGTCGGAACCCCCAGCATCCATAGCAACCAATAACGTTCCGGAGAGAGGCTTTTTACAACTTGCTTCGACAGTTCCATTTTATTCGGAAAACGAGTAATGTGAGTAATGTGGGTGGGCCAGTGCCGCCCTGGCCCAATACTGGCTACGCCCCTGGATCTAATAGATAGAAGAACTGAGGTCCACCCCTCTAAAATGCTGTGGATCGTTTTGACGTCTCTAGGCTAGTGGTGATAGGTATTACAATCTGATTGGACCAATCGTTTCGAGTGCTGGATACCTAAGATTTTGGTTTGACCAGTAAAAAAAGAAAATCTGTAATTTCCAATATACACTCTGCTTAATTGCCTTTTTTATTTGAAGGTGCATCTTTTACAGTTGTTCAAACAACGTGTAACAACTGTTTTTCCAATACCTTTCACACAAAAAAAATAAGCTCAAAGATTGGTTCTAATAAATATATTTTTATATTTTAAATTTATAGGGACAATAGTTCTATAAGAGGTTTTGGGGCCTTCATATTCACATAGGGCCCCACAGTAAGTTCCAGGGAGCCCTCATAGTCCAAGAGCCTTGTAGAGGCCTTGTGTAGGCTATGGGACACATTTATTACAGCATTAATACACATTTGTTTTCATTGTTACTGGGTCTTCTGAACCAAACTGGATTGTGCGGCCTTAAACCCCAGGGCCCCCCCGGGCTTCTGGTAGTCAAGGGCCCCTGGGCACTGGCCCCATAGGCCCGGTCAGTAATCCATCCCTGCTTAGGGATCATGCGCTGTGGTAGCGCGTTAAATCATTCTTTTTGCGATTCTTTTAGCAGCTATAATTCATGTAGGTGATTTTGAAGTATATTTTATGTCGATATACAATGGTTACATACTATTAAAACTAATCGTGATATTGATATATTAAGACTGCCGACTATGTAGAACAATGGCAAGGAAAAGAATCATTGAAAATGTGGTGATGTGCAAATTTATCGCAAGCCGTTTTAGCTAAAATTGTTCCCAGCGTTACTCATCGTAATTGCATTTTTACTACTAAGAATTTAATAAGAGAGCTCTACATTTAAATTCTTACTAGTAGCAATTACAATTAGAGAGCTCTCTAATTCAGTTTTTACTAGTAAGAATGCAATTACAGAGCTCTCTAATTTAATTTTTACTAGTAAAAAAACTAATTAAAGATATGTATAATTGCAAAGCTCTGTAATTGAATTAAAGAGCTCTGCAATTGCATTCTTACTAGTAAAAACTGAATTAGAGAGCGCTCTAATTGGAATTTTTACTAGTAATATTGGAATTGGAGAGCTCTCTAATTGGAATTGTTACTAGTAAGAATTCAATTGTAGAGCTCCATAATTAAAATGAATGGAAGACGTCAATGGAGACATATGACTAGTAAAAATGTATCTGTAGAGCTCTCTAATTGTAATTATGACTAGTAAGAATTGAATTAGAGAGCTCTGTAATTGTAATTCTTACTAGCAATCATTTAGATAGCTCTGTAATTGTTATTTTTACTAGTAATAATTAAATTAGAGAGCTCTCTAATTGAATTCTTACTAGTAACAATGCAATTAGACGAGTAACGCTGGGAACAATTTAAGCTATGGCTTGCCATACAAATGTATATTATGAGGAAATTAAACAGTTTTTTTTACCTTTGATGCATGTAAACCTTAAATGCTCGAGCACTTTAAAAGTCAGGTGGATTCTGATTGGATCTCCATGTTTTTATTTGACGTTATCCTTATAGACTTGGTGTAGACTTATTTTCTTAGAATCAAAATTAATATTATTTTTATTAGAAGTGTGCATCTTTACTTGCCTCGCGATTCGATTAATTATAGATGTTTTAAAACTCACATAGTTCAATGTTTTAATAATTATTTTTATTTACATTGAGGAAACGTGTTTCCATTTGTGTGTAAATTTCTTTGGTAAGAGAGATTGGGAGGGGTTGATACTCACCTAGAATGACTCCACAACACAGCACCGCGTACAAGGACGTTGATTGTTTTAGAACAGTGTAGGACAAAATAACATTAAATACGGTGGAAAGCGAGCGGCCAACCGTATAGAAAGCAACTCCCACATGTTTTAGGCACAGGTTGTTGAATGTGATCATGCTGATGAACACGATCGTCAACGGCAACATCTCTCTGGACACTCTCAAATCAAATTTTAAAGTCGGGAAATCCACGTATCCAGGACAAAAGTTTGCGAGAACGTTCATGAGCAAACATAATCCAACACTAACAACACACTGGAAAAATGTGATGAAGACAGGCGCATCTAGGTCCTTGTTGTCTAACAGGTCGTTGTTCAGGAATACCATGGAAATCGAAACGAACCAGTAAAGGGTCACGACCAAACCGATTTTTGTCGCTCTCATAATAAAGGTCTCTTCTTTGTCCCCCGGACGAGTGTAGTCTGTGAAGGCCATTCTTAATATTCTGGATCGTTTGAGTTGAGACCTGTTCATGTTTCCGGAATAAAGGAAGAAGAACAATGCAAATGAACATTAGTTATTTCATAATAACAGCAACATTTCGCGCCGGCTCCCTGTGAATCTCTGAGCTGGACATGAGAAAAGCGACAGGCGATAGCCAGAGTGGTCTACAACTTCCCTGTTCCGCGTTTCTTAAAGGGATACCCTCACCTAGCTATAAACATACAACTGCACATACTCTCACAATAAAACAAATAGTAGGGGATCGTTTTGAGATGCCTAACCATTTATTATCTAAACAACAATAAAATAACTTCGAATTGTATGTGTGTAACGTTTAAAAATGTAAAACTATGTTAGAATTTGATACCTGAGTCTTACCTTCCTGGACGTCAGACTTGCTCCAAACCATTTGCATTGCACATTAGTACATCAGGAAGTGTTTTTAATTTTGAACTCCTCCTTTCCCTTAAGACATTCTACCGTAGTATGCCTACGTTTGTGATTGTTATCACTACAATGGAATAGATTTAATATCTGTGTAAACACAGACTTCATTCCCATCAAAACGACGAGATGAAAAAAAAACCCACAATTTAAAAGTGCTATATAAAAAATGTTCTACAGTTTCTATCTCAGCTTTAAAGAATAAACCTACATTTGAGTTAACGGCGTCAGACAATTGATATTTATTATTTTAAAATGCACATTTTTGCATTTTGGGGCTATGGGAAATAAAATGTTGGCTACTTACCCCTAATTTCACATATTGCTTTTTGTTATAATGATGAAAAAAATATTATTTCCTCACTTGTATTTGATAATATCCTCAGAAATTTGTTTTTGTTCTTTTATTAACCAAATTAATGATAACGGGTATTGTTTCTATTCTATATATCGACTATTTTAGAGCATAATGGCAAAAGTTATCATAATTCAAAATATGTCTTTGCATATCTGCTTATATTATAGGTTATGAACAACAGTAGCCTAAACACATTTAGAAGCTACTTCCATAATCAAAACAAAAGTGTGTAGCTTCCCTAAACAGATTATTTAGCATTAATGTAATTTTCAGATTAAGTAGACTTCATAGTGCATTTATGTGCAACACCACATTCACCAATTTTGTTAATTGGTATATGTATTGGCCTGGAGCATCTTATAGGGAATAGGAACATCAAAACATATTAATCATGGCTCTGTGAAGGTAGACACAATTTAGGTAGACAGTTATTACAGGGATTTCTGTGTGCAGGTTCAAATGTGGTAGGCCTATGTTTGATTAATGTTTGAATGAATGAGTGTTTGTTTGTGCGCGCACGCGCGCGTGTGTGTGATTTGAATAATGTGGAAAAAGTTATTTTTGTCATGGTGATTGTGTGAGTTTTCGTTGAGAAGTCTCCGATGTAATCATTCTAATTTTAAATAGATGGCAAAATACTTTTATTCTGAAATGTAAAATGGGGCTGGGCCTGAGAGGGTGGTTGTTCATTTCCGGTCGTGAGCTTCGCCAGTGCATATCGTTAGATATCAGTGCATTCTGACGTAATTATTTTTATATTTAGCTTATTTGAAAAATAAGACAACCGTTGTCTATCTTACCTCGAAATGGCAACAACAATTAGCACGCAACGGGGACAGGTAAGAGTTCATTTTGTTTAAATACAGTCTAATAGCAACATGTTAGCTTGCTCATGCTGCATAATAAACATTTTCCCCAATGAAAACAAACATTGAAAGTTGCGCAGTACATAATTACCAATGTAACAATAGGCATGTGTAGATGTTACACGAAGAAGACAGCTCAAGTGGCGTCTAAACATCACAATGTTTGACGCACAAAGTATCGAAAAGTACAAAATGTAGCTATACGTAACGTTATGCCAGTTCTTAATTTTGTGTTGCCGAAAGGTCGAGTTCTTCATAACAAGTAGGTCGTTTGTGTCAAGAAAGATGCGATGACTATACGTCATCAAATATAATTTCATGCCAGACTTTAAAAAATCAAATTGTGTCCGTGTTGTAACTAACGTTAAACAGACTATGTATTATTTAATTTATTTGAACGTTTTTCTTGAACGTTATTTGATTACAAACATACAGTTTGCGCATTACCATGATGGATAATAGTTGTAGACGTAATATTTTTTGCACGGTATTGTTGGCTACATCGGGCTCGTGATTTAGCAAGCAGTTTAGTATGTAAAGGGAAGTTGACGCATGACGTAATAACGGACACTTCTAGTCAACCTCAGTTGTTTAGGTTTGGTGATATCAATATAGTAAAAGACAACAATAGTAAACTGATATAATAGGAGTGTATTTACAAAGAAACTTGTACCATGTTCAGCAGTACTTTGGTCATCTTTTTTGGAAATGAACTGGAAAAGAGCTTGGACAATAACAAATAGCTACTGTATAAGTAAAGTTTTAGAGAGGTAGGCTATTTTTTAAAATGTCACAATCTATCCTGTTAAACAGTTAATTTGAAAGAATAAACATACATTTGAGTTGCATCAGAAGTCAGACTATTGAGATCCTGACTAGCCTGACTCTCTCGGCTTTCTCGCCCCATATAATACACAATGTGCCAGGAATTTGGGCATCCTATTTGACTCCAGTTTAAATTTTGACAAACAGATCACTGATTTTGTCAGTCATGTTTTTACCAGTTAAGCCACTTTCTCAGTTAAGTTATGCTTTTTTATTTTATCCAGGGGTAATTTTGAAACCGCAATGCCTTTGTAACATCTCGGCTTGATTACTGGATTACGCAGGACTTTTTTCTGATTTCTGATTCTCAAAATTTGCGCCTACATGTGCGGTGTTCCTTGTGTAGTTTTTCAGGGAGAATCTAACATTTGTATTACTTTTCTGACCTCAAGAACCATTGGGCTCTGTAATTTCTAAAAGGAGAACACTGATAATAACTTAAATATAATGTTAACATTTTATTTCAAATGTAACACCAAATTAAAATAAATAAATAAATAATTTAAAATGATTTTTTTATTGCAGTTTTCCACAGGATTTGGTGAAACTATGTGGTGATGGTTGTCAGGCCCTCTGGGGGGATGCTCCCCCTGTAGATTTAAAGGAACACGCCAACTTTTTGGGACTTAAGCTTATTCACCGTATCCCCCTGAGTTAGATAAGTCCATACATACCCTTCTCATCTCCGTGCGTACTGTAAATCTGTCTGAAGCACCCACCGCTAGCCTACAAATACTGGAGGTAAACGGCTCCATCTAGCCTACTGCTCCCAAAAGTGACAAAATAATGCCAACATTTTCCTATTTGCATGTTGTGATTTGTATAGTAGGGTAGGGTTCAATCAATTTTGTATATCATGTTTCAAATATGATACAACAAGCTTAGTTTTGAGGAATGCTTATTTCTCAGTCATCATTGTAGGCCTATTGCATTACATTGTGTTTTGCCCCAACAATACACATTTATGATAGAGCTTTCATCTTAAAATTAAGCATTTAAATATCATCTTACCAAGACATATTAGGCCTACTTGGAGATATAGAGTGACAAATGATATTTAGATGCATTTTATGTAAGAAGTCTGCTATACTGTTATAAAGATCTCAATGATTTACATTTTTGGCCATATAACAACTGCACCAAATTGCTATTTTTGCTCAGTTTGGGCATCTGAATAAATTTGAGATGTTTTTTTCTCCTCCTTATTCTCACTAATATCTCACTAAACTTTTTACTTTTATATTTTGTCTAAAGGTAAAAAAAAAAAAAAAAAAAACTGTTCCGTTAAAAAAAATCTGATATTATTTAATTTAATTTATAGGCTAAAGTAGTAGCAGGTGTGTGGGTCTCCTTCACTCGTTCCATCTTGCTCCTCGTCCATTTTGGTGTTGTTTACAGAGTGCGCGAGCCTCTTTTATGTAGCATACGTAGCATACAGACACGAGTAACATCATTTCCATCAATCGGTTCAGTAACATAGCATGCACGGTCGTAAATGTGTGTGTGTGAGAGAGATGCGCGCTTACAGCGGGAGCAGGTTGTGGTTAGGGGTCGACCGATATGTGATTTTCAGGGCCGATACCGATTATTACAGGTCAAATAGAATGATAACCGATATTTTGAACCGATATATATATATATATATATATAAATTATAGCTATGTCTGGTGTAAAACTGTAAATTAATGTCAAAATTAAGAATAACAAAGGGTTTTGACAAATACTTTCTTTAAATGATTTTAAACATATCTTTGAATCTGAGAACTGTTATTAATAATAATAATAATAATAATAACTTGTAAAAAGTGCAGGGAGCACCCAGCAGCATTCTGTAAACATTTTGTAAAACTTAAAGACTCTATTTTAATTTTTAAATAAATTTTAGTAATCAAAAAGCATTTCTAATGAATTAAAATCAAACTTATTCAATTTATTTACAGTTTAACAAAAATTAAATTTTTAGGGCCTTGTGAAAAACCGAACTTTTATTTTGACGGGTTGCCGGTCAGATCTTTGAGTTTCTGTGTGTTTATGATATGTCGATAACTTTTCTCAGTTGAAGCATTAAAAAGCTCATGAAGTGACTAAGCGGCTCTGGAGATAATGTTTATGCAATCATGTCCTCATATAATGATGCGGCTGAGGCTGAAAACAGCGCAAGCGTCACGCGTGCTCCAGTGTGTGTGGTAAGTTAACTGAAATCACGCATCTCTGCGCCATTCATTTAACGTTAGAGACACGCAGGATTCATATTTAAATAGTCTTTTTGCGGTTTGATTTGTACTGACCTGCTTTTTATTAATTCATCAAAAAGTTGACAAATTCCGTGATATTCCGCTTTATACAGTAAATTCCGTTTTTAGGACTGGATTCCGCGACTCCGTCTGTTCTGCATCGCGGAAATCACAGGGCTCTATTATATTGAGGTATTTAGCAACTTCAGTGTAGTAATCTAGCTATTGCTTCTTCAGCAAAGTCTGCTGCTGCCTTAACTTTGAGAGACAACTGAAGCGTGATCAGTGAAGCGGCTCTAGTCAGCGAGTGCTCTCTCGGTGTGAGAGTGCAACACTTTCAGTGCCTCAGCTTTCCGCGCTGATTGGCCGGACTCGTGACTCCCAACAAATCAGATGTGCGGGGACATTAGTCTAGTCTACAGAGTGGTGAGTTCCGACAAAGGTGGCTGCGTCAGAGCCAAATATAGCGCATTTAATTATTTTATCGGCAAATCGGTTTTGAAAATGGCCGATACCGATAACCATAAAAATGCTTAATATTGGCGCCGATAATCGGCCAGGCCGATAATCGGTCGACCCCTAGTTGTGGTGGTTGGTTGTCTGACTGACTGACAGATGTATTGCTGAAGCAACGGCGCAAACACAAGTTCAGATCAATTCAAGTTCAACGCACATAGGCTACTTCGAAGTGGACTTTCCTTTGGCTTTCCTTTGGCTAAATGTGAACTGTGATGACGTCACACGACGCGTCTGGCCCAAATTCTGCGGCATTTTAAGGTTTTCTTGATTTTGCGTAAAATTCTGTGATCGCGGAATCCTGGAGGGACCCAGTACACCTATTTTAATGTCTCCGCACTGGCTCCCTGTCAAGTATAGGATTGATTAAATTAAAAATTTCGCTTTCGCTACTGCTGGACTGAAACTCTGGAATAACCTTCCTCCCTATATTAGGCATGCCCCATCTCTCACTACTTTTAAATCTTATCTCAAAACATATTTATTCTCCCTGCCTTTAACACTCCTTAGTACATTATGCTTGGTTTCCCTTGCATACTGTTTATTTCTTATTTAGTTTTTTACTTCTTTATCCTCTTGTATACTTTTTATTCTTGTAAAGCACTTTGGTCAAAACATGGCTGTGTTTAAATGTACTCAATAAATAAACAATTGATTTAATTTAGATATTGAAAGTTCTTACGAACCAAAATGTATGTAGTTGTGAAAGAACTGTTGTGCATCTCTTTTTCCAGTGTGTACTGAAGAAGGTTTTGGGCAGTTGTCTCTAACTCTAATATATAAATTGATTTGCATGATGTAATTTTATTTCTGTACATGAATAACATTGATTGCACTGCAGTAGCATTAGTATTAGTAGGCTACAACTGTTTATTTTACTTTTAATGATGTTCATGTCAGAAAATGTGAGACTAAAGTCTTTTCTCATTTTCTAAATGAGATGGATCTCATATGAATGCAAAAAAAGAAAAAAAGAGATATGAGGCACTTTTTTATTTATTTATTTTTATTTTACACTGGCACAATTTGTATTTATTTTTTTGTTGTGAGTTGACCCCTTTAACCCCTTCAACCTGAAGTAAAGACCCCCGTGGAAAAAAGAATCATAATCACATTACTAATCAACCACTGAATGGAACAAAACAAAATATTATATAAAATAGTATCATTTTAAAGCTTAATCTCAGCTTTGATCAACTTTAAACGAGTGCTGAGTAGTCCCTCTAAAACGAAGTGTATCGTGCACAGGTGCCTCCTAGCTGTGAAAAAATTAATCATATTTTTCAAAACTACAACCTTGATCAACTCAAAATTGGTGTCATTTGAAAGCTTAGAGTCTGTTTGAGTTGATCAAGGTTGTAGTTTTGAAAAATATGATTAATTTTGTCACAATGAATGTAGCCTATTTGATTAACTCCTAAGTAGTGCTGAGTTATTTGCTGATAAATATAATTTCTTTTTTTCATAATCTAAATAATAATTATTTTGTACTATTTGCTACAATGTATTATTACAATTAAAATGAGCCCAAAATGAACATAATCTATTGCATTGATCACAAGATATTCCTCATGGAGGAACAATTTTAAAAATGCCCATTAGGGGGCGTCAAGGACTGAACAAAAAGGCTATCTTGGTTCCAAATGCTGTAACTTTTGATAACTTTATGCAATCACCACAAAATTTGATCCAGATGCAGCTCACATATAGAGGGACTTCACCAAAATAAGATTTTTCCTCCTACTTTATTTTCTTCCTGAGTTATTCCATGTCAAATAAGAAAAATATGCAAAATCAAAAAATAGCAGTTTCATAGTATGACAATGTCCAAATGTAATCTAAAGTATATTTTCTATCAAACAATACCTACCTTTTGACTCTCCTTCCTATAGTTTTGGAGTCTTTAGTTTTGTGTATGTCACTCAGAAAACTAGGACTAAACAAAAAGGCTACCTTTGTTCCAAATGCTGTAACTTTTGATAACTTTATGCCATCACTTACTGCAACCGCTTACAAACCATTAAACGCTGTTGTTGGTTATTTAAAATATAACTGATGAACACACGCCTCATTTGGACTCCTTTATTTAATAACGCATTGTAAAACTTCACTGTTTTATGGACACTGCCATGTTTGACAATGTAGCTATGGTTACTGGTGTTAATCATAAAAATAATCGTTACATTTAATCAGGGAAAAAATTATCAGTAGATTAATCGATTGAAAAAATCGTTAGTTTCAGCCCTACTTTGACCTTGTGAACTATGCTTCTAATGGTGTCTCTAGGAACATTTAGTGCTTCACTATCTTTTTGTATCCTGTTCCTTGTTTGTGAAGGGCGATGATATCTTCTCTTAACTTTTTGGACTATTCTTTGGCTTAGCCATATTTCTAACATGCAGTCAGACGTGACACTCAACATACCAGCCAGTTCAGATATTACATGTGTTCTAGCTCAAGCAAACCTGGTGCAACTAATGAAGTTCTTGATTTGTTGCATCAGGTGTGCTTGAGACAACACCTGTTTGGCAGATTTGTGCTGTTTTGAGGGATTCTATTCAGGGGGTTGGATTTGTTCATTGCAAACAGCTGAAAGTCTCAAACTTTGTCAATAAACCTGGGTTGAATAATTTGCAATAAGAAACTGAAACTGTAATAAGACATCACCCACTGATAATGATGAACAGTACACTACAAACTAAAACTGGATGGAGTTTCCTTTGGGGACTTATTAAAAGACCCATTCTTATATGTTAAAAGAAGCAGCAAGGTATATTAGTTTTAAATCCCAAGCCAGGCAACTATAAGGATCCCAAAATTCTAGACAAGTTTAGACCAATTACATTATTAAACAACGATTGCAACAACTTTTGATTCAATTGAACACCTGTTTATTCTCCATTGTTTCCATGATTTGAGTTTGGGGATACATTTGGAAACAGTTTCTTTTTATGCAAAATTCAAACAGTTCAATCTCTTTACCAGGAGGCACATCAACCCGATTTTCCATCAAACGTGGGGTTAAACAGGGTTGCCCTATTCTTCACTTCTCTTTATAATGTCTACTGAAATGCTTTGTCTTTAACCATTCAAATGGCTCCATTAGAAGTACTTGGACAACCAAGTCACTGATTTGAGAGGATCACATAAACGAATGACTTGTAATTGGTAATTTTGTAAATATTGTTTATGTTCTTATTCTGTGTTTAGGTCTACATTGGTGAGTTGCCTCAGGATTTTCTGAGGATCACCCCGACTCAACTGCAACAGCAGGTACAGTTAGACGCCCAGGCAGCCCGACAGCTGCAGTATGGAGGATCTTTGGGGACAGCTGGTCGCCTCAGCATCACTGTAGTACAGGTACCTTTATGTGTTATGTTAATATTAGACAGCAGTAAAGTATTTTACAAGAAAAATTTAATTTTGGGAAATGCAGATACTTTGCTACATTGCAAAGCATAATACCTTATGTTTTTACGTTACTACATATTAGAAAAAAACATGCCATTTTTCATTGTTTTAAAGTTAATTTAAGAGTACTTCTCATTTTCCCTGTCGACTAGCTATTTAATTCAGTTCAGTTCACATTTATTTGTATAGCTTTTCACAATATCGTTTCAGCTTTACAGAAAATGCATGTCTACATTACAATTTAAAGTCATCTGTTATCAGGTGAAGTAATGTATTTCAGAAATGTACATATACACAGAGGTGGAAAGAGTAATAAAATATTCTACTCAAGTAAAAGTACTACTACTTCAATTAAATTTTACTTAAGTACAAGTAACAGTACTGGTCTAAAAATCTACTCAAGTAAAAGTAAAAAGTAGCTCATTTAAAATGTACTCAGAGTAAAAGTTACTGAGTAACTTTTTTAACAGCGGGGGTGGGGGACTATCCCGTGTAGGGTTGTAATGGTATGAGATTTTCACAGTATGATAACGTCTCAGAAGATATCACGGTTTACAGTATTAATCAATTATTAAATAAATAAACTGTATTATTAAATTAAGTATTATTATTATTATTATCATCTGTTAAAATGATAACTGATGATAGTTATCATTTTGATTATCATAACTGATGATAGTTATCCCCCCCCCCCCCCCCCCCCCTGAATGTACTGTTTACATGAACGCAGGTGTCGCTCATCGGTAATCACGCCACCGGCCTCGCGCCGTTCTCCCGCGGCCCTCACTCGTCCTGCTCGCCACAGTAAACATGACTCGCGCCGTTCTCCCGCGGCCCTCACTCGTCCTGCTCGCCACAGTAAACATGACTCGCGCCGTTCTCCCGCGGCCCTCACTCGTCCTGCTCGCCACAGTAAACATGACTCGCGCCGTTCTCCCGCGGCCCTCACTCGTCCTGCTCGCCACAGTAAACATGACTCGCGCCGTTCTCCCGCGGCCCTCACTCGTCCTGCTCGCCACAGTAAACATGATGAATGGCGACTGTAGAACGCAAAAGCCGAATCCTGGACATCATGGGCGATCTCGAAAAACCCAGGCAGACTCATCACGGAGACTCACTAGTAGCCTAGGCTTGTTGTTTAACATCTGCGCTCTGTTACCGGTAGGCGTGGCCTCCTAGGGCAGCGAAGCAATTGCATTCTGGGAGTAGTTGTCTTTCATCCACATAAGCCAAAAATACATTTTCTGGCTTTTCTCAGTCTAGAAAGCTCCAAATTCAAAAATAATTTCACATTTCTTCTACATAAATGACCCCTTTTAAATACACATTCATCTTCCCAGAGGTGAAGTGCCCCTTTAATGAAAACAGGATTTTTTTTTTGCTTGAACAAATGCTTTTATTATAACAAACTTGAAACCATTTGTTTGTTTTGTTTATTAAAATTTCAATAAAACATGTCTAATCAATTAAATTTGATAATTGATAATGAATTAGATTAACAACTTATTTTTAACAGTAATAATTTATTAAAATGTTTAAGAAAAATATTGTCCTGAAATGTATTTTATTCAGAAAATTAATGTTTCTTTTTATGATTTAATCCAAATATATTATCAAAAACGGTTGTAATCAAATGTAAATTTAAAATTGTGTCCTTTTATTTTTGGGGGAAGCGCTGCAAAAACAGATTTACTAAATTAAACCATGGACAAAAAATATATTCCTTTAAATAATGTTTAAATAAAATGTATTATTATTGTTGTTATTATTATTATTTAGAGAAATAGGCTACGTTCTATTGTATGCCTATAATAGTAATATATTTCTTTTAATTTCTCCTAGTAAAACCAAACTTTTATTTTGACGGGTTGTAGTGAAGACCAAAAGTGTAAAAAAGTGTTTCGAAGTGTATTTGACAATGGTTTATCTCAAATAAAATTATGAAAATGCTCATTAGGCGTTCTCTCAAAGCAGCTCTGGAAATGTTCATGTATTCATATCCTCAAATTGTTTGTGAGACTCTGAATGTCACGCGTAGCCTACTTGAGTATGTACAAAGCGGCGCAGCTCAGCAGAACAAATAGGGTTATATTTACATGCAGTATTTTTGTGCTAAGCTTAAATATTCACAGACCATGTCGCGATTGGATTTATTGCACAGTTCTACTTTCCATGTATTCATCCATCCATTATTTTGCGTGTTTTACGTGACATCTGCGTTATGTAAATTTCATTTTCATGACTAGATTACGGGGTTCCCTCTGCATCACGTAAATCGAGACATACCTTTATCTGCAGGAGCAGTGCTTTAAGTGGGCCGGTACGCACCGGTACTCAGTACCGCCACTTCCAAATATAGCTCTTGAGCGTACCGCCACCTCTCCGTGCGCCCAGAACGTGCTTTTAGCGTACCGGTACGCTCATTTGCACATCTGTTTTAATCCTTTGGCTGCGCAGCCGCTTTTCAGAGCTCCCTTCACAATGCACACCTCCTAATTCGTCCCACCGAGAGCAGAGACTACATTAACCATACACCCTTGAGTTTTACAAGTGAAAAGCGCATTCGTCGCTTTTGCCGCTGTCATTGTTAGCTGTACCGTCTGGTTAAACCCCGCCAGCTCTGAACCCCGCGAAGGTCCGTGAAGACTGAAGCTCGTGTAATGACGTAGGGCTAGCTTATTGGTCGCACGTCAGAGGCGCCCGCGCCATTGGATGTGCAGTTGCCGCAGTACAGCCTATTAGCGAGCCAGATGCTCAATGTGTTTTACATAAAAGCTTCATTAAATCAGAAAAAGAAGTTTCCCTGCACATTCACTATATAAAATTCACTGGAGGAAAAAGTTCGCGTTGCCGTCGTCAAATTTGGAAGTCGCTCAAAAGGCTCTTTCGCGGTTGTGGCTTCAGTCGACTTCAGTGAGGCGCGGTGGTTTATGGGATGAGTAGTTCCTTCGCTCGGAAATTAAAATATGTACACAGTCTTGTACCTTCGATTTTATTTGGATTTTCTCTTCGTTTTTTCACTCGAAATGATATGTTGTATGCTTATGAGTTCAGCCGTAGCTGGTTATCCTCAGACATGCTCTAAAACTCTTTAGATAACTTACGGTTTTTCCAAAACATCAATGGGAGAAATGAATGGGAAATTTACTTCCGGCACCGAAGCTCTCTCGGGCTGTGGGCGGGACTGTGATGCTCAGACAATAACATTTAATTTTGTAACAGAATAAAAGTTTTTTTTTTTTTTTTTTTTTTACAAATTTAATTTTACTCTGTTTATTTATGTTTTTACTCAACATTTGTGCAGTTTTTGGAGGACTTATGATATCTTTTAAATTTCTATAAATAAATAAATATTTATTTAAATAGGCTTTTTACACACAAAAAAAAGAGCATTTTATGTCAAATTCACTTTATAAAAGACCCAGATTTCTAACTTTCATTCATGGAGATAACATGGATAATTTTACATAGTTTAATGTAAGATTTTTGGCCATTTTTTGGAAAATGCAGTTTTAAAATAAAATAAAAATCACTTTAACCACTAGATGGCTATAGAGCTTCACTATATGCTATTTGCTATTTGACTAATCAAAATATATATTTTAACAAGTTTTTCCAGTTGGATTCATATCCACATTTTGTACATTTTATTTATGTTCAGTAGCTCTTTCTACTGTAAAAAAAAAAAGGGTAAGGGTATTCTAAGGGTATTTTTTCAATACCATTTTGCACATTTTATTTATGTTCAGTAGCTCTTTCTAGCTAAAGCAAATCCACAAACTAATAAAAGGATTTATTATTTTTTATAAGGTCGTCTATTGACTGCTGTTTATATAAAACTCCTTCAATATAGTTGTTACCTCAGGGGAGGAGGGGAGTCAGCAAAAAATAAATAAATAAATAAATAATAATAGAGTACCGCCACCTCTTTTGGGCCACTTAAAGCACTGTGATGGTGTCCTATATCCTCTTTTTGCAGCCACTTTGCGTCCACATTTTTTGCAAATTGGATATCTATCCTCGAGGACAACCACGCTTTTTTCTACAAAGTATTTTCATACTGGCCATAATTCGCTTGGCGCTTCGGTTTCAGCTTCAGCTGGGTCTGCGTCACCTTTTTTGCGCGTTTGTTCTCCCGCCCTTCAATCAATGCAGTAGTTTCCGGAGTGTGTTTTTTTTCTTTTATTATTTTTTACTCCGTAACGGATATGATTTCAAATGTAGCGAAGTACAATACTTCAAAGAAAACATACTTAAGTAAAAGTAAAAGTACAGATTTTAAAAACTACTTAAAGTAGAAGTACACAAAAAAACTACTCAATTACGTAACGCGAGTAAATGTAATTTGTTACTTTCCACCTCTGCATATACAAATCACGCAGTATTAATTTACGGCAGAAACGATGTGCTTATTAAAGTAATTATTACAAGTTGTGAATATAATTACAATATATAGAAATTTAGCATTGGTGCATGTTGATTCAGAGTCATCTGAAATCCTCAAAGGAGTTGGAGTCATCTCTTCACAGGTGTTGGGGCACCTGAAGTGGGCATTGTTTTAGTTTCTGAGGTAAATATATTTCAGAGATATCCCAGAGTGGCCTAAGCTGATCCCAAGCTAGCGTCCCAAGTGTTTCTGATCTGTTGACTGATTATTTCTTGAGCTGTTATTGACTGGAAAATGAATCCGCATCTAAGTTAAGGTGCGGTCACGTTAGCAAAATATTTCGTCCTTGTGCGAAATACCCGATTGCATGGATTTCTATTGAAATTACAGAATTTTGCCTGCGAAAGTTCGTTAGACAACAGTAAATGTGACTGCACCTTTAGGATTAGGGTATGCAACTTTGCCTTTTTGGCCAGTGTCAATAATTTATGTATAATTCTAGAATAATAAATTTTTTTTAAATCGAGAAAATATGTCTATTTTACCACGTGTATTTTTGTTTTATGCTGCAGGTCTTTCTTGTTAAAGTGACTAACCTGTGTAAAGGTATTAATAATAATAGTATAGTAATAATAACAAGTTATTTATATCGCTCATATTTTCTGTGGTTAATACACTGATTAGGCCTAACATGAGCAATACATTTCAGCCTGTTGCTTTGCTTAATACTGAATTTGTACATGAATGGCTCATTGCGACTTTTTTTGTGTTTGTGCATCTGTGACTTTAGGTGTCCAAAAATAATACAGAATATGTTCAAGGAATTTCAAAAGCCTAGAAGTTATGATATTATCTTATATCAGAATCTTATTTCCACAGGCAAAGCTTGCAAAGAACTATGGTATGACACGCATGGACCCTTACTGCAGGATTCGACTTGGGTATGCTGTCTATGAGACTCCTACTGCCCACAATGGAGCAAAGAACCCTCGCTGGAACAAGGTCATCCAGTGCACTGTCCCACCTGGGGTGGACTCCTTCTATCTGGAAATCTTTGATGAGGTCAGACTGAAATAACCTTTGTGTTACATATAAAACCTTTTCATTTTTGTTGACCATCCCATACTTTTGTCTTACCTCATTCTATCTACTTCATTCCTGTCTCTTTCTAATCTGAGCTATAAATAATAGAAAGCTCTCATCTATTTTTGTACATGGATTACTTCCTTGAAATAAAGCAATCTTAACCCTCATCCTTACCTTGCATCATTTTGACCCGAAACTTTATTGTTTAATAAAAAATGTTTATATTATATATATTTTATATAAAACATTTTTTAATTGAGTGCTCATCAGAGAGGTCCAAGACCCTAGGACTTTTGTTGCACTTGAACCACGAATACACACAAAAAAATTTATGGATTCGACTTGGAGGAATTTTGTGGTTAAAATAAAAAAAAGTAACATCCTTCCCTCACGGGTCAATTTGACCCCCTAAGGAATGGATGAAGTGCGAGGAATGCCTCAGTACACATAGAAGAACCTTCAAAATGCTCATAATTCAAACTAAAAAATGCTAAAACTTTACCAAAAAGTTATTTTATAATGTTTACATGTGTATTTGAATGCATACTGAAGAGAAATGACTCAAGGACCCAGCGGAACAGCTTATTTGCTCCATATAGAGTTATAAGGCCATCTAGTGGCAAGAGCCATAAAATGTCATGTTATATTATTATTTTTCCACAAGAGGTCGGTAAAGACACCCAATATAAGATATTTTGATATGAATTAAAAGGGTTATGCATGAATTTGATATATTTTGAATTTAAGTAGAAAGAATGTGAGGAATGTGCTTAAATTGCTAATTATTTATTACTTATTGATCAAATCTAGTAATTTAAAGGTAAATAAAATTAAAAAATTGCATTAAAATTTGCCTTGCCTCTGGCAAGCACCTAGCCTGGGAAAACCCAGACAACTTCCGGCAAATTTAGATTTGCTCTGAAAGTTAGTCTGGCAAAGAGCTCATTCAAGCTCATTTCCAATCCGTCGAAATCGAGGCACCAATCAGAAACGTTGGGGCGGGCTTTACACGATGACGACAGCGCTGGGATTTTGAAGCAGATTTTGTAGCCTACATTACAAAGATGGATGCCGCCGTTAGGGATGGCCCGATACCATTTTTTTTTCAAACCGATACGAGTACGAGTATTTACATTTGTGTACTTGCCGATACCGCGTACCGATACCGATATTTCTACCGCAAAAGTAATAGGCTCCCAGAAAAGAAGACGACTATTTTAGAACACAGGTTAGAAGACTGTTTTTATTTTCTTCTCTGCTTGTTTTAACAAGTCTAAAAATAAATAAAAATGAGTAAAATAATAAATGTATTAACACACAAACCACTGTTAATTTAACATAAAAGCAAGCAGGCTACTGCGTGCATGGTCTGGCATGACTGAATGCGCGCAAAGTGCGCTCCCTTAATAAATCCTAAAAGCTGACAGTTCATCGCGATCTCACACATCTCTGTTATTATCAATGAAGCTGACTGCACAATCAATCTTTCATAATATCCACACTTTGTTTGTTATAATTAGAGGATTTGCCAGCATACAGAATTCAGCACTGAACAAAAAAGTCCGTTTTGAGCGGTGAGGGGAGTCTATCTTAAATGCTTCTGATTGGCCATTGCGTTCAAGAAATCAACACATATGTCTGTGATTGGCTACATCGCTCAACGCTGTAACCATGTTATGAATAGAAACTCTGGCCTGTAAATCGTTTCTATTTTGTTGTAGTTGTTCTTGTTGCTTTTCTGCAAGAGATGAATAAAAATCTTTTAGTTTTTATGTTTTATTCATAGATATTTCTAGTTTGCGGGAGTCCCGCGAATCGTTTTATTCTCCCGTAACCCGCACACACAGAGTGAGTGCATTACCGCCCGCGCGCGCGCTCGGCCATCAGATCTATGATGCGTCTTCAGATGTTTAATTAGATTGCTGGTGTTAAACGATGTACTTTCTTTCCCTCCTCTCGACACCTTAGCTGAACATAACTCACAGTCTGCCTTGCTGTTGTCATCACCCCTTATCTTGAAATGAGCCCAAACCGCCGACATTATACTTTCCTATGCCTCAGTTCACCTCGACAAAGCACTCGCGGCGGCCAGTTTCGTTTTGCAAAATGTACGTGGTATCGGTGCGTGGTATCGGCGAATTTTTATGAGTACGAGTATATGAGGACAGAATCGGCCCGATCCCCGATGCCAGTATCGGTATCGGGCCATCCCTAGCCGCCGTCGAACATCACTCATTCGAATCAGCTATCGCGTCTGTTTTAAGCGATTTGAACGTTTCCTTTTTGTTAAAAACCGAGCAAAGAACAACACTCGGAGATTCTCCGCCGCTCTGCATACGTCATCTCCTTCATCGCTCTGATTGGTTTTAGGTCTATCCGCGACGTCCGTTGGTGACGCCCCTCTGGAAATGATTTGTCTATGACGCTTTGCCAGACCATAACTCAGTTACAACTGAGAATGGTCTGGTTTTAACCAGGCTAGCAAGCACCACTAAATAGAAAAAATATTATCAAAATGAAATAAAATAACCTTTTTGAAAAAAAAAAAAAAAAAAAAAAGTTATGTTATGTTATATGCTATCAAGATATGTTACAAAGTGTGAGGGAAGGATGAAGGTTAATTAGTGTTATCAAAAAAAATTATATTTAATATTTAATTTTGGTAACGAAAACTATGACAAAATATTTGTTGAATACCTTTTTTACACGGCACCGGCATCATTAAACAATAACTGTGACTAAAGCAACATTCAGTATTGTTGACAAGAATTGATTAATATGTAGTTTAAATAAAAACTTGACTAAAATCTTTATTTCTAACAAAAAAGACGATAAAGTAATTTAGACTTTTACAATAGTACAATACAAATATCCTGTTGGAGCAGCAATTTACTTTCCTTTGTTTTATATCAGCACAGTGGGTTTGCCTTTCAAGTAGGCTATTTCAAAACAGTGTTCATTTTTCATTTTTAATCTTAGTTTTAGGTGACTAAGGTCAAATAGGATGTATAAGTAGCTTTTAGAAACGTAATGTTTAGAAAAAACATTACTGCTGTGCATCTTGAGACAAAACAATGTCACTGACCTATTTTAAGATAAGTCAGTGCAAGTTGCTTTTAGTCTGGGACTAGGCTAAAAATACCCTGCAGATACCCTGCTTTAGAAAGCCGTTTGTCTGCTGTCTATTACATCACTCACAAATATCAACAGACAAACAAACACAACTTTTTTTTTAAAAATCATGAAATTTTAATTCTGAAAACCTAAATGTAATTCTGGCAGTAACCTCTCCTAACTGATGGTTGTTGTGTGTTGGTGGACAGAGGGCATTTTCCATGGATGATCGCATCGCATGGACACACGTGACTATCCCAGAGGGCCTGCGTGAGGGCACCGTAGTGGATGAGTGGTACAGTTTGAGCGGAAGACAGGGTGATGACAAAGAGGGCATGATTAATCTTGTCATGTCTTTTGCAGTAAGTCCTAAAAAATACTGAAAATTATGGCATAACCAGGTGTTATTGCAAACTAAAGATAAAAGCTGTTGCTTAATGTTGATGTTAAGTTGTAAACCAATTTGATTGCGATTGCTATATGTTCTCTTGGCTGTAAATGTGTCATTTTGTATTTTTGCTCAAATTACTTGTAACCTGTTCAAATTTCCTGGTCAGGACATGCTCTAAATTTCACACATGCGCTATCAATCGTGAAAAATTGTAAGAACAGTAGCTCTCTCAGGGAAAGAACTTGTCAACTTTTGCTGAATCTTTTTTTCTTTTCTTTTCTTCTTTTCCAAGTCAATACCAGCGGGAATGATGATGCAGCCGCAACCTGTGGTTCTGATGCCTACAGTTTATCAGCAAGGGATTGGATATGTGCCCATAGCAGGTGTGTTTAACAATCTATAATCATAACTAGAGATGCACAAAGCGATCAGGCAATATTCATTTTAAAACTGTAATCGAACATTGGCCGATTGCGCTTAAATTCAGGGTCTGTATGATAGAGCTGCACGATTATTTGTTAAAAGATCACAATCTCGATTTCAATACCCATGTGATCTTATTCCTGAATGACAATGATTCGGCTATGTCTATTAGACCTTTGACAAGTACGATCACACTGGAACATATAAATGTGTTCGCATTGCTGCTGAGCCAGAGAGAGCGGTTGTCATGTTTAGGTATGAAGCAACTTCACAAACAGTCTTTTCAACCTCACAGTAACATTATTTCTATGTTACAAAATATTCAAATTATCACAGAGGTACTGGGATAGAAGTTTATTGTTCGGTTATAAACACTGATGTCCACGGTAGTAATTAAAATAGAGCAAATCACCTTTTGAAAGTAACTTGGCGCATCAAATAACGATTGCATCGATTACATTGTTAAACCACTAGGTGATGACAAGTGAGTCATTCCTTATAACCAATGTTTGTAAAAAAAAAAAAAAAAACAGAATTCATTCAAATTATTAAACATATTTGAATAGACTGCAGCAAAAGTTATTTTGGTTAGTTGTCTATTCAGAATTGTGGGAGAATCGTGATCTCTATTTGCAGTGGCGCAGTTCCCGGGGGGACAGGGAGACACTTTGAAAATTCCCCCCTTTACTTAATTCTATACTTATGCCTTTTCCTTTTGTCGACACAAAGTTAAATGAAAGTTTACAGTCGTCACATTTCTGCTTCCAGAACTTGCTTCCAGACTGAAAGAAGATCAAAGGGTTTAACATTTAAGCGTGAAAAGGCAGCTTAATTTCCTGGATTTTTTCAGATATCCGAAAAGAAGGAAGTGTAACGATGATAATATATTTATGATCTTCTTAAAACTATTTCAGTATTGTTTAATAATTATTTTATTAAATATGCTAATTATTTACAATATATAAATATGGTATGGACTCTCTAATGAGACTAGCTGACTAAACCTACAGTGAGTCGGCACGGAATAGTCGGTTAATATTGTTTCCCTTTAAACTTTTCCAATATCTTATTTACATCGCCTTACACAATTTACTTATTTATACAATGACTAAAATACTGACAATGAGAAGGTTCATTTTAAACAATATCATGGATGGATTATCTCGGCAAAGGAGAAGTGCTCACTAACACAGATTTAGGCAGATTTGTGAACAATATTTGAGAGAAATAGGCTTTTTGTGTACATAGAACAAGTCTTAGATCTTTGAGTTCAGCTTATGAAAAATGGGGGCAAAAACAAAAGTGTTGCGTTTATCATTTTGTTCAGTGTATAAAGCTTACTGTATCATATGATACGTAAATCATAAATGTGCAAAAGTCTCTAAATTATCAGTAAAAAGTTATCAACTTTGCTGAGGAACCTGTTGTACACAATCTTCTACATGCCTTCTGTCGCCTGATTGAGTTTATACTTGTTTATCGGGTAAAAGGCCGTTTTGTATAGTTCACCCCGTCCACCTTGTCTTTTGGCTGTGAAGTCCTGATTTTTATAAAGTAAATGTAAGAATAACTTACATTGTTAGTAATATTTCAAGATAAACACTTACTAGATTGAAGTAAAACTTAGGTTTACCTGATTATCCATCTTTTTTATTATAAATGTGAGATGTTAGAATGCGAGTATCAAATACGATCCATCAGACTTTTGAGGAATATGTGTTTGTTCATCTCTCAATCATCATTGTATTGTATTACATAATATGTTCTGAAATTACAGAGTTTTGATCATAAAACTAAGCATTTAAATATCATCTAATACATATTATTGGCAGATATCGAGTGACAACTGATATTTAAATGCATTTGGAGTAAAAAGTCTGCTGTACTGTGTTTTTTCCTCCTCGAGTACGAGATCCATATTCTCACTACACCATACTATCTGAGCCATAAAAGCCTAATGTTTCAAATATGATGCAAAACATAAAGCATGTGTCATTTTTTTCTAACTATTATTTCATATGTCAGGGATATAGTAATAAAGGAAGCCTATTCTGTTTTAAATAGCAGGACTCCCTTTTTATTAAAAAAAAACCCAACAACATCAAATCATAATCCCCAAAATGGTTTCCTGTGCACATTTAAATACTTCTTTCAATTATAAAAAAATAAAACAAAAAATTATCTTTTTGTCCTAATTTCCTAGGTGTCCCTGGTATGTACAACCAAGGTGTGGTACCAATGGGAATGCCAGCTGTGCCTCCTGTTGCACCACAGAGCCCCATTTGCAGTGAAGAAGACCTTAAAGCCCTTCAGGATATGTTTCCCAACCTGGACAAGGAAGTGATTCGCACTGTTTTGGAGGCCCAACAGGGCAACAAGGATGCTGCCATAAACTCCTTGCTACAGATGGCAGAGGAGCTTTAACTGAAGAACTGCCACTCACAGCTTAAATATTCAACTGTACCAACAATGTAAAACTTTATACCAAAAATACCTTGTAAAAATGCACACTGAAGTCTATCAACCCTTAATAGTAGCAAGTAAATCTAACAACTTGTAATTGTTTTTGCTAAATCAGCATTCAGAATGAATGTTTCTGGAATGTTATAGAGAATGTAGGATAATTTTGCAAAAGAGTATCGTGTCGCATGTCCACTGAGGGCAGTATACCATATCTGTATTGTAGTGATCCCATGTTTTAAAGATGTTTGATATTATGCTTTTATCTGTATGAATTTAGTTACATATATGTACATGAATATAATTTATTTTGAAGATTATTAAAGAGATATCAGAGTATGTCATTTTGATGGGTCTTTTGTATGTGCACAAACCACTTTATGACAATTACCAGAACAGGTCTCTGAGAGCATCTGTTACGCTAAGTGTAAAATGGCAAATATCTGCACAGTATATAAGAAGTACGTTGCCTGTCATTGCACAGCACACAAGACATTTGCAGGACCTTTCAAATTATGATAGTGTTTTTGTGGACACAAAAGGATAAACATTGCATACTATAAATTGTGTATACTATACACTCACCTAAAGGATTATTAGGAACACCATACTAATACTGTGTTTGACCCCCTTTTGCCTTCAGAACTGCCTTAATTCTACGTGGCATTGATTCAACAAGGTGCTGAAAGCATTCTTTAGAAATGTTGGCCCATATTGATAGGATGGCATCTTGCAGTTGATGGAGATTTGTGGGATGCACATCCAGGGCACGAAGCTCCCGTTCCACCACATCCCAAAGATGCTCTATTGGGTTGAGATCTGGTGACTGTGGTGGCCATTTTAGTACAGGGAACTCATTGTCATGTTCAAGAAACTGAAGTTTGAAACTTTGAAATGATTCGAGCTTTGTGACATGGTGCATTATCCTGCTGGAAGTAGCCATCAGAGGATGGGTACATGGTGGCCATAAAGGGATGGACATGGTCAGAAACAATGCTCAGGTAGGCCGTGGCATTTAAATGATGCCCAATTGGCACTAAGGGGCCTAAAGTGTGACAAGAAAACATCCCCCACACCATTACACCACCACCACCAGCCTGCACAGTGGTAACAAGGCATGATGGATCTCATTCTGTTTACGCCAAATTCTGACTCTAACATCTGAATGTCTCAACAGAAATCGAGACTCATCAGACCAGGCAACATTTTTCCAGTCTTCAACTGTCCAATTTTGGTAAGCTCTTGCAAATTGTAGCCTCTTTTTCCTATATTTGTAGTGGAGATGAGTGGTACCCGGTGGGGTCTTCTGCTGTTGTAGCCCATCCGCCTCAAGGTTGTGCGTGTTGTGGCTTCACAAATGCTTTGCTGCATACCTCGGTTGTAACGAGTGGTTATTTCAGTCAATGTTGCTCTTCTATCAGCTTGAATCAGTCGGCCCATTCTCCTCTGACCTCTAGCATCAACAAGGCATTTTCGCCCACAGGACTGCCGCATACTGGATGTTTTTCCCTTTTCACACCATTCTTTGTAAACCCTAGAAATGGTTGTGCGTGAAAATCCCAGTAACTGAGCAGATTGTGAAATACTCAGACCGGCCCGTCTGGCACCAACAACCATGCCACGCTCAAAATAGCTTAAATCACCTTTCTTTCCCATTCTGACATTCAGTTTGGAGTTCAGGAGATTGTCTTGACCAGGACCACACCCCTAAATGCATTGAAGCAACTGCCATGTGATTGGTTGATTAGATAATTGCATTAATGAGAAATTGAACCGGTGTTCCTAATAATCCTTTAGGTGAGTGTATATATTATAAATGTTGGATCTGTGACAAATTGCTGTTCTTTTATTGTAAGTTGCTTTGTATAATGTTTGATGACCTCACATGGGACTACAAATGTAAAATAGCCAGGGGGCTAATTTTGGCATATGTACATTGCTGAAAAACTATGTTCATTCATATGCATTGTCCCTTTTAAATAAATAAATAAATAAATAAATATAAAAGCATTGTACAATGCAAATTAAAAGGCTATACTTGCCATACCACTAACTTAACATGGATTTAACTTCTAATTCAAATATATAAGATCATGAGCAATGGTCATTGGTTGCCCACAAATATAATAATTTTGCATCCAAAATCAATACGATGCGAATCCATAATCTTTCCACCATGCCATTCACAGATTTATTTCTATATGCAGAATTTTGAGACCATTGTAATTTTCCAGAAAAATGAAAATGTGCAAGAAAACTTCAATTTGCATTAGTTTATTAAGAGCTACTAGACAAGAAACAAAAGAGCTGTCATTCTCATGACACCATAGAGTTAATAATCACAAACATTTAAAAAGTGCAGATTCATCCCATAAGATACATTTGAAATGGCTCTATTGGATGTTGTTAGAAAAGCAGGTTCACAATCTCCTCCGACGTCTCTTTAAGGAAGAAGATTGACCAGGGCAATCGCTGGCCTTGCAGCCACAAGAATCAATGTGAATGTATGAGTGGTTGATGTTTGACCCATCTGCGCAAGTCAGAGTCACTTCCTTTTTGGTGGTTGTCATTTCTTGACAGCACGAGCATGAATGCACAAGAGAGTTCGCTTCCACTGAATATCTGTTTTAACATACAATGAAGAGATGGTTTCTGTTGTTAATTACCAGCACAGACAGTATAATTTTGTCTCCATAGTATGGAAGCTTGTTACTGCCATGGATTAAAAAAAATAAAATATAATTGCGCCTTTTTATCTTACAATTCAGACTTTTTTTGCAATTCCGAGTTTGTCTTAATTCTCAGAATTGCAATGTACAAACTCACAAAAATGTCAAATGTCAGATATGAACACCACGGCAAGAAAAGAAAAGTCAGAATTGTGAAATAAAAAGTCACAATTACCTTTTTCAAAATGTTTCTTCTGTGGCAGAAACAAGCTTCCATACTATGTGGAGCAGTGGCATGGCACAAAAAGTACATATATTTAGAAATGAAGGATTCTGATTTTGATACTCACATTGATGAGGTACCACACAAGCCTGCACAAGAAGTAATTTCCACAGGTGTGCTGCTTATACAGCCATTGCTGACCAAGAAGGTGCTGTTCTTCTGGACATTACATTTGCTCTCCAGTGTACCTAAAATAAATGAGAAACACATTAAGCAAGTGTTACAAAATATACTTCTACATCTTGTATGTCCTGGAAAATTTTAAAAAGCACTATTTTCTTCTCTCTCAAAATATTATTTTGCTCCCAAAAACAACCAGATGTATATATGAGTGGCATTAACTGTCAATTTCATAAATCACAAATCATGATTCAAATGGTGCATACATGTTTCTAAGAGTGAGAATTGATTCTCATTACACATGCAATTGTTAAATAATTTCCCATAATAAATTGTCTCAGCTGAGACTCACATGTTTTACAGCAGCCATCTGCGTCTGTTGTCTCTGTTCCCTGTAGAAAATGAAAAAGCATTGATCATTACAAAGACTTAATTTTAACATATAAATACCAATAGTTCAATCAAAATAGTGTCCTGTGAAAGCCACTTACAGGGATACAATCTTCAGCATTAAAGGCAGGACAAGCAGTCTTAATCTCAACTGCCAATGAGTTACCGTCGATTCGTTCACACATGTATGTCACACATTTGTCATTAGTTGGTTGCCATATCTCGTTAACCTGTTCGTGAAGAAATATATAGATTATAGACATATTAAAAGGTTTCTTCATGCAGAAATGAATGCCATTTAATATGATGTGTTTACAATACAGCTGTTAAAATGCTAGAAAGAATGTAAGAACTTACTGAAATCGTAACTGTGACGTTGTCATGCATAACCACACAATTAGTGCTAACACACTCTCCACAGCACTGACCAGGAATAAATTGGTACTCCTGATTCTATAGGAAAAGAGGAGAAATTTATATCTAACAGGGCATTGTGTTCTTTTAAAGCTGTCTTTGTTTATTATTCACATGTATAACCCAACTGAGCTAGTCTTCATTACAGGCATAAATAGACCTCTATACCTCCGGACAGTTATAGTTGCAATCAGCTATCACACACTCAGGAGAAATAAGTTTTGTTTCAGGGTCTACATTCCAACCACAGTGACAAAGTGTACAAGGATCATCACTTGGTATAGGTGAGCCAGGCTAGAGAGGAAAATAGTGAGAGGGAATAAGTGTGCACGTAAGTTGTTTAGATATTTTATAAGCTATTTATTTATACACAAAAAAAATCTAATTTTACCTGATACACTGTGGTATTATGGACACAAACTTCCGTGGGTGCTGTAAAGAATAAGAAATGAATTGAGTGCAAACCTGTGCATTGCATAATACCAAAACAGTAAATTATCATTCATTGAGAACTATTTTTTATACTGACAGCAAACAAACTCTGGACAGCAGTTATCTGGAGTTACACTGAAGGATGGTATAAAGCCCAGTGGACATTGTAGTGTGGGAATAGGGCACAGATTTATATCGCAACCTGTAGAAAATATATAAAACATTTTTGTTTAGGATTTCATTTTAGATGTACAGACATTTCTACAATAAATGTTTAGACCACAAATGTGCTGCTTAACTTTTACAAGTCAAAGAGGCTCATCAGTTGAAAACCAGTTTAACATTAAATATATACAAAATATATAGATGAAATATATAAAACTAAAAATATATAAAACGCAAAGTACTTAAATTAATTGTTATATGTAATATTTGTTGTGTTCAGATCACTTACTGCATTCATAGATCTCACAGCAGTCAATTGTTTTGTTGACAAGCACTTGTCCAGGCTTATCACAAGTAACAGGTGGTGAAACAGGACAAGTAACAGGCTGGCAAAGGACCCTCAGTGTTTCACTCTCACACTGACACATTTGACATCCACTCTGCCAAGTATCATTGGGCTGCAAAACCAATAAAACTGGTCAGGTTCAGCCCGTTTGCGTTAGCTTGCTGACATGTTATTATTAAATATGATTGATTAATTAATTACTAATCCAAAAGTACTTATCCAATGCAATGTAAGTTGCTTTGGATAAAAAAGCGTGTCAAATGTAAACATGCTAATTTAATTTTGATTTTCTTGTTTTTCTGCTGAAATGGAGGGTCAATCATGGGCCTACTGATGATACAACCTATGAAACAAAGGACCAAGTTATTTAAAGTAGGATGTACCTGTCTTGGTGGATCAAGAGCATCACACTTAGGCCCAAAGGTTGTAGTTGTTACTTCTGTGTTTGTATTAGTTGTGGATATTAATGTGACAGGTTGTTTTGTGCCTATTGTTGATGTGCTAGAATATGTGGTTGTTTCAGGAGAAATGGATGGTGATGGAGAGGTTCCACAAGATGTTGAAATCTTCACGATATCACAAGTTGCATTACAGTGTGCAGTAAAGCACCAACCAAAGCCATCAGTAACATTATAAATGATATCACCTGTAAAAGACAGAAGTTACACAATTTTATACTGTCTCTCAAATATTCAATAATAATAATAAAAAAATATATATATATATACAACATACTGTATATAAATACTATATATATATATATATATATATACGAGAAGTATTTGTACCTGATTGAAAATGTGTCCCATTCACAAGACAACAAACAATAGAAGAGGTTGAGAATAGAGAGGATTCTGAAGTCACAGGAAGGGTAAAATATGGTGGTGTTTGTGTAATGGGAGCAATTGAGGTCTCCATAGATGTGGATGAGTAAAAAACGTTTGTAGTGGTAATTGCTGAACTGGTTGATTTGGTTGTTTCGAATGAGGTTTCCTCTTCTAAAGTGGATGTTGCTGTAGTTGTTGGTTGGCCAGTTGATATCACCTTCGGAGGCCTGGTGGTTGACAAAGGTGTCTGAGATGTGGTCAATTCGTTTTCAGTTACAGTCTCAGTTGTTGTTACTTCTCCAGTTGTTTGAGTAGCTGTAGAGGATTTTGAAGTTGTGTAGACACTGCTTGGAGATGATGTTTCTGTAGGTGGCTGGACAGTGGTGCTTCCCTCCTCGACAAGGACAGTGGTGGATGGGATGGCTGGTGTAGTGGTTGAAAGAGTTGTTTCAGCTTTGACTGGTTTTGTTGTTGAAGAAAGACCCTGAGTGCTAACCTCATTTCCAGTGGACGATTCAACAATCACTGTTGTTGACACAAGTGTAGTGACTGGCACAGCAGTTGTCTTTGTTAGCGTTGTTGATTGCATGGATGTAACGACTGGTAGTGAAGTTTGTGTCACTGGGAGAGATGTGCTTGTGGATGTCGACGTTTCAGATGATGTGGCTGTTAACTCTTCTAAAGTGGTCGTGGCTGTAGTTGTTGGTAGGCTTGACTGACCAGTTGTTACCACCTTTGGCGGCCTGGTGCTGGACAAAGGTGTCTGAGATGTAGTCAATTCGTTCTCAGTTACAGTCTCAGTTGTTGTTACTTCTCCAGTTGTTTGAGTAGCTGTAGAGGATTTTGAAGTTGTGTAGACACTGCTTGGAGATGATGTTTCTGTAGGTGGCTGGACAGTGGTGCTTCCCTCCTCGACAAGGACAGTGGTGGATGGGATGGCTGGTGTAGTGGTTGAAAGAGTTGTTTCAGCTTTGACTGGTTTTGTTGTTGAAGAAAGACCCTGAGTGCTAACCTCATTTCCAGTGGACGATTCAACAATCACTGTTGTTGACACAAGTGTAGTGACTGGCACAGCAGTTGTCTTTGTTAGCGTTGTTGATTGCATGGATGTAACGACTGGTAGTGAAGTTTGTGTCACTGGGAGAGATGTGCTTGTGGATGTCGACGTTTCAGATGATGTGGCTGTTAACTCTTCTAAAGTGGTCGTGGCTGTAGTTGTTGGTAGGCTTGACTGACCAGTTGTTACCACCTTTGGCGGCCTGGTGGTGGACAAAGGTGTCTGAGATGTGGTCAATTCGTTCTCAGTTACAGTCTCAGTTGTTGTTACTTCTCCAGTTGTTTGAGTAGCTGTAGATGATTTTGAAGTTGTGTGAACACCGCTTGGAGATGATGCCTCTGTAGGTTGCTGGACAGTGGTGCTTCCCTCCTTGACAAGGACAGTGGTGGATGGGATGGCTGGTGTGGTGGTTGAAAGAGTTGTTTCAGCTTTGATTGGTTTTGTTGTTGAAGAAAGACCCTGAGTGCTAACCTCATACCCAGTGGACGATTCAACACTCACTGTTGTTGACACAAGTGTACTGACTGGCACATTAGTAGTCTTTGTTAGCGTTGATGGTTGAGTGGATGTAACGACTGGTAGTGAAGTTTGTGTCACTGGGAGAGATGTGCTTGTGGATGTCGACGTTTCAGATGATGTAGCTGTTAACTCTTCTAAAGTGGTCGTGGCTGTAGTTGTTGGTAGGCTTGACTGACCAGTTGTTACCACCTTTGGCGGCCTGGTGCTGGACAAAGGTGTCTGAGATGTGGTCAATTCGTTCTCAGTTACAGTCTCAGTTGTTGTTACTTCTCCAGTTGTTTGAGTAGCTGTAGATGATTTTGAAGTTGTGTAGTCACTGATTGGAGATGATGTTTCTGTGGGTGGCTGGACAGTGGTGCTTCCCTCCTCGACAAGGACAGTGGTGGTTGGGATGGCTGGTGTGGTGGTTGAAAGAGTTGTTTCAGCTTTGACTGGTTTTGTTGTTGAAGAAAGACCCTGAGTGCTAACCTCATTCCCAGTGGACGATTCAACACTCAGTGTTGTTGACAAAAGTGCAGTGACTGGCACAGCAGTTGTCTTTGTTAGCGTTGTTGGTTGTGTGGATGTAACGACTGGTAGTGAAGTTTGTGTCACTGGGAGAGATGTGCTGGTGGATGTCGACGTTTCAGATGATGTAGCTGTTAACTCTTCTAAAGTGGTCGTGGCTGTAGTTGTTGGTAGGCTTGTTTGACCAGTTGTTACCACCTTTGGCGGCCTGGTGGTGGACAAAGGTGTCTGAGATGTGGTCAATTCATTCTCAGTTACCGTCTCAGTTGTTGTTATTTCTCCAGTTGTTTGAGTAGCTGTAGATGATTTTGAAGTTGTGTAGACACTGCTTTGAGATGATGTCTCTGTAGGTGGCTGGACAGTGGTGCTTCCCTCCTCGACAAGGACAGTCGTGGATGGGATGGCTGGTGTGGTTGTTGAAAGAGTTGTTTCAGCTTTTACTGGTTTTGTTGTTGAAGAAAGACCCTGAGTGCTAACCTCATACCCAGTGGATGATTCAACACTCACTGTTGTTGACATAAGTGTACTGACTGGCACAGCAGTTGTCTTTGTTAGAGTTGTTGGTTGAGTGGATGTAACGACTGGTAGTGAAGTTTGTGTCACTGGGAGAGATGTGCTTGTGGATGTCGACGTTTCAGATGATGTAGCTGTTAACTCTTCTAAAGTGGTCGTGGCTGTAGTTGTTGGTAGGCTTGATTGACCAGTGGTTACCACCTTTGGTGGCCTGGTGCTGGACAAAGGTGTCTGAGATGTGGTCAATTCGTTCTCAGTTACAGTCTCAGTTGTTGTTACTTCTCCAGTTGTTTGAGGAGCTGTAGATGATTTTGAAGTTGTGTAGACACTGCTTGGAGATGATGTTTCTGTAGGTGGCTGGACAGTGGTGCTTCCCTCCTCGACAAGGACAGTGGTGGATGGGATGGCTGGTGTGGTGGTTGAAAGAGTTGTTTCAGCTTTCAATGGTTTTGTTGTTGAAGAAAGACCCTGAGTGCTAACCTCATACCCAGTGGAGGATTCAACACTCACTGTTGTTGACACAAGTGTAGTGACTGGCACAGCAGTTGTCTTTGTTAGCGTTGTTGGTTGAGTGGATGTAATGACTGGTAGTGAAGTTTGTGTCACTAGGAGAGATGTACTTGTGGATGTCGACGTTTCAGATGATGTAGCTGTTAACTCTTCTAAAGTGGTCGTGGCTGTAGTTGTTGGTAGGCTTGATTGACCAGTTGTTACCACCTTTGGTGGCCTGGTGGTGGACAAAGGTGTCTGAGATGTGGTCAATTCATTCTCAGTTACCGTCTCAGTTGTTGTTATTTCTCCAGTTGTTTGAGTAGCTGTAGATGATTTTGAAGTTGTGTAGACACTGCTTGGAGATGATGTCTCTGTAGGTGGCTGGACAGTGGTGCTTCCCTCCTCGACAAGGACAGTCGTGGATGGGATGGCTGGTGTGGTGGTTGAAAGAGTTGTTTCAGCTTTCACTGGTTTTGTTGTTGAAGAAAGACCCTGAGTGCTAACCTCATACCCAGTGGAGGATTCAACACTCACTGTTGTTGACACAAGTGTACTGACTGGCACAGCAGTTGTCTTTGTTAGCGTTGTTGGTTGACTGGATGTAACGACTGGTAGCGAAGTTTGTGTCACTGGGAGAGATGTACTTGTGGATGTCGACGTTTCAGATGATGTAGCTGTTAACTCTTCTAAAGTGGTCGTGGCTGTAGTTGTTGGTAGGCTTGATTGACCAGTTGTTACCACCTTTGGCGGCCTGGTGCTGGACAAAGGTGTCTGAGATGTGGTCAATTCGTTCTCAGTTACAGTTTCAGTTGTTGTTACTTCTCCAGTTGTTTGAGTAGCTGTAGATGATTTTGAAGTTGTGTAGACACTGCTTGGAGATGATGTCTCTGTAGGTGGCTGGACAGTGGTGCTTCCCTCCTCGACAAGGACAGTCGTGGATGGGATGGCTGGTGTGGTGGTTGAAAGAGTTGTTTCAGCTTTCACTGGTTTTGTTGTTGAAGAAAGACCCTGAGTGCTAACCTCATACCCAGTGGACGATTCAACACTCACTGTTGTTGACACAAGTGTACTGACTGGCACAGCAGTTGTCTTTGTTAGCGTTGTTGGCTGCGTGGATGTAACGACTGGTAGTGAAGTTTGTGTCACTGGGAGAGATGTGCTAGTGGATGTCGACGTTTCAGATGATGTAGCTGTGAACTCTTCTAAAGTGGTTGTGGCTGTAGTTGTTGGTAGACTTGTTTGACCAGTTGTTACCACCTTTGGCGGCCTGGTGGTGGACAAAGGTTTCTGAGATGTGGTCAATTCGTTCTCAGTTACAGTCTCAGTTGTTGTTACTTCTCCAGTTGTTTGAGTAGCTGTAGATGATTTTGAAGTTGTGTAGACACTGCTTGGAGATGATGTTTCTGTAGGTGGCTGGACAGTGGTGCTTCCCTCCTCGACAAGGAGAGTGGTGGATGGGATGGCTGGTGTGGTGGTTGAAAGAGTTGTTTCAGCTTTCACTGGTTTTGTTGTTGAAGAAAGACCCTGAGTGCTAACCTCATACCCAGTGGACGATTCAACACTCACTGTTGTTGACACAAGTGTACTGACTGGCACAGCAGTTGTCTTTGTTAGCGTTGTTGGTTGCGTGGATGTAACGACTGATAGTGAAGTTTGTGTCACTGGGAGAGATGTGCTTGTGGATGTCAACGTTTCAGATGATGTAGCTGTTAACTCTTCTAAAGTGGTCGTGGCTGTAGTTGTTGGTAGGGTTGACTGACCAGTTGTTACCACCTTTGGCGGCCTGGTGCTGGACAAAGGTGTCTGAGATGTGGTCAATTCATTCTCAGTTACAGTCTCAGTTGTTGTTACTTCTCCAGTTGTTTGAGTAGCTGTAGAGGATTTTGAAGTTGTGTAGACACTGCTTGGAGATGAGGTCTCTGTAGGTGGCAGGACAGTGGTGCTTCCCTCCTCAACAAGGACAGTGGTGGATAGGATGGCTGGCGTGGTGGTTGAAAGAGTTGTTTCAGCTTTGACTGGTTTTGTTGTTGAAGAAAGACCCTGAGTGCTAACCTCATTCCCAGTGGACGATTCAACCCTCACTGTTGTTGACACAAGTGCAGTGACTGGCACATTAGTAGTCTTTGTTAGCGTTGTTGGTTGCGTGGATGTAACGACTGGTAGTGAAGTTTGTGTCACTGGGAGAGATGTGCTGGTGGATTTCGACGTTTCAGATGATGTGGCTGTTAACTCTTCTAAAGTGGTCGTGGCTGTAGTTGTTGGTAGGCTTGACTGACCAGTTGTTACCACCTTTGGCGGCCTGGTGGTGGACAAAGGTTTCTGAGATGTGGTCAATTCGTTCTCAGTTACAGTCTCAGTTGTTGTTATTTCTCCAGTTGTTTGAGTAGCTGTAGATGATTTTGAAGTTGTGTAGACACTGCTTGGAGATGATGTCTCTGTAGGTGGCTGGACAGTGGTGCTTCCCTCCTCGACAAGGACAGTCGTGGATGGGATGGCTAGTGTGGTTGTTGAAAGAGTTGTTTCAGCTTTGACTGGTTTTGTTGTTGAAGAAAGACCCTGAGTGCTAACCTCATACCCAGTGGATGATTCAACACTCACTGTTGTTGACACAAGTGTACTGACTGGCACAGCAAATGTCTTTGTTAGCGTTGTTGGTTGAGTGGATGTAACGACTGGTAGTGAAGTTTGTGTCACTGGGAGAGATGTGCTAGTGGATGTCAACGTTTCAGATGATGTAGCTGTTAACTCTTCTAAAGTGGTTGTGGCTGTAGTTGTTGGTAGGCTTGATTGACCAGTGGTTACCACCTTTGGTGGCCTGGTGCTGGACAAAGGTGTCTGAGATGTGGTCAATTCGTTCTCAGTTACAGTTTCAGTTGTTGTTACTTCTCCAGTTGTTTGAGTAGCTGTAGATGATTTTGAAGTTGTGTAGACACTGCTTGGAGATGATGTTTCTGTAGGTGGCTGGACAGTGGTGCTTCCCTCCTCGACAAGGACAGTGGTGGATGGGATGGCTGGTGTGGTGGTTGAATGAGTTGTTTCAGCTTTCACTGGTTTTGTTGTTGAAGAAAGACCCTGAGTGCTAACCTCATACCCAGTGGAGGATTCAACACTCACTGTTGTTGACACAAGTGTAGTGACTGGCACAGCAGTTGTCTTTGTTAGCGTTGTTGGTTGAGTGGATGTAACGACTGGTAGTGAAGTTTGTGTCACTAGGAGAGATGTACTTGTGGATGTCGACGTTTCAGATGATGTAGCTGTTAACTCTTCTAAAGTGGTCGTGGCTGTAGTTGTTGGTAGGCTTAATTGACCAGTTGTTACCACCTTTGGTGGCCTGGTGGTGGACAAAGGTGTCTGAGGTGTGGTCAATTCATTCTCAGTTACCGTCTCAGTTGTTGTTATTTCTCCAGTTGTTTGAGTAGCTGTAGATGATTTTGAAGTTGTGTAGACACTGCTTGGAGATGATGTTTCTGTAGGTGGCTGGACAGTCGTGCTTCCCTCCTCGACAAGGACAGTGGTGGATGGGATGGCTGGTGTAGTGGTTGAAAGAGTTGTTTCAGCTTTCACTGCTTTTGTTGTTGAAGAAAGACCCTGAGTGCTAACCTCATACCCAGTGGACGATTCAACACTCACTGTTGTTGACACAAGTGTACTGACTGGCACAGCAGTTGTCTTTGTTAGCGTTGTTGGCTGCGTGGATGTAACGACTGGTAGTGAAGTTTGTGTCACTGGGAGAGATGTGCTAGTGGATGTCGACGTTTCAGATGATGTAGCTGTGAACTCTTCTAAAGTGGTTGTGGCTGTAGTTGTTGGTAGACTTGTTTGACCAGTTGTTACCACCTTTGGCGGCCTGGTGGTGGACAAAGGTTTCTGAGATGTGGTCAATTCGTTCTCAGTTACAGTCTCAGTTGTTGTTACTTCTCCAGTTGTTTGAGTAGCTGTAGATGATTTTGAAGTTGTGTAGACACTGCTTGGAGATGATGTTTCTGTAGGTGGCTGGACAGTGGTGCTTCCCTCCTCAACAAGGAGAGTGGTGGATGGGATGGCTGGTGTGGTGGTTGAAAGAGTTGTTTCAGCTTTCACTGGTTTTGTTGTTGAAGAAAGACCCTGAGTGCTAACCTCATACCCAGTGGACGATTCAACACTCACTGTTGTTGACACAAGTGTACTGACTGGCACAGCAGTTGTCTTTGTTAGCGTTGTTGGTTGCGTGGATGTAACGACTGATAGTGAAGTTTGTGTCACTGGGAGAGATGTGCTTGTGGATGTCAACGTTTCAGATGATGTAGCTGTTAACTCTTCTAAAGTGGTCGTGGCTGTAGTTGTTGGTAGGGTTGACTGACCAGTTGTTACCACCTTTGGCGGCCTGGTGCTGGACAAAGGTGTCTGAGATGTGGTCAATTCATTCTCAGTTACAGTCTCAGTTGTTGTTACTTCTCCAGTTGTTTGAGTAGCTGTAGAGGATTTTGAAGTTGTGTAGACACTGCTTGGAGATGAGGTCTCTGTAGGTGGCAGGACAGTGGTGCTTTCCTCCTCAACAATGACAGTGGTGGATAGGATGGCTGGCGTGGTGGTTGAAAGAGTTGTTTCAGCTTTGACTGGTTTTGTTGTTGAAGAAAGACCCTGAGTGCTAACCTCATTCCCAGTGGACGATTCAACACTCACTGTTGTTGACACAAGTGCAGTGACTGGCACATTAGTAGTCTTTGTTAGCGTTGTTGGTTGCGTGGATGTAACGACTGGTAGTGAAGTTTGTGTCACTGGGAGAGATGTGCTGGTGGATTTCGACGTTTCAGATGATGTGGCTGTTAACTCTTCTAAAGTGGTCGTGGCTGTAGTTGTTGGTAGGCTTGACTGACCAGTTGTTACCACCTTTGGCGGCCTGGTGGTGGACAAAGGTTTCTGAGATGTGGTCAATTCGTTCTCAGTTACAGTCTCAGTTGTTGTTATTTCTCCAGTTGTTTGAGTAGCTGTAGATGATTTTGAAGTTGTGTAGACACTGCTTGGAGATGATGTCTCTGTAGGTGGCTGGACAGTGGTGCTTCCCTCCTCGACAAGGACAGTCGTGGATGGGATGGCTAGTGTGGTTGTTGAAAGAGTTGTTTCAGCTTTGACTGGTTTTGTTGTTGAAGAAAGACCCTGAGTGCTAACCTCATACCCAGTGGATGATTCAACACTCACTGTTGTTGACACAAGTGTACTGACTGGCACAGCAAATGTCTTTGTTAGCGTTGTTGGTTGAGTGGATGTAACGACTGGTAGTGAAGTTTGTGTCACTGGGAGAGATGTGCTAGTGGATGTCGACGTTTCAGATGATGTAGCTGTTAACTCTTCTAAAGTGGTTGTGGCTGTAGTTGTTGGTAGGCTTGATTGACCAGTGGTTACCACCTTTGGTGGCCTGGTGCTGGACAAAGGTGTCTGAGATGTGGTCAATTCGTTCTCAGTTACAGTTTCAGTTGTTGTTACTTCTCCAGTTGTTTGAGTAGCTGTAGATGATTTTGAAGTTGTGTAGACACTGCTTGGAGATGATGTTTCTGTAGGTGGCTGGACAGTGGTGCTTCCCTCCTCGACAAGGACAGTGGTGGATGGGATGGCTGGTGTGGTGGTTGAATGAGTTGTTTCAGCTTTCACTGGTTTTGTTGTTGAAGAAAGACCCTGAGTGCTAACCTCATACCCAGTGGAGGATTCAACACTCACTGTTGTTGACACAAGTGTAGTGACTGGCACAGCAGTTGTCTTTGTTAGCGTTGTTGGTTGAGTGGATGTAACGACTGGTAGTGAAGTTTGTGTCACTAGGAGAGATGTACTTGTGGATGTCGACGTTTCAGATGATGTAGCTGTTAACTCTTCTAAAGTGGTCGTGGCTGTAGTTGTTGGTAGGCTTGATTGACCAGTTGTTACCACCTTTGGTGGCCTGGTGGTGGACAAAGGTGTCTGAGGTGTGGTCAATTCATTCTCAGTTACCGTCTCAGTTGTTGTTATTTCTCCAGTTGTTTGAGTAGCTGTAGATGATTTTGAAGTTGTGTAGACACTGCTTGGAGATGATGTCTCTGTAGGTGGCTGGACAGTGGTGCTTCCCTCCTCGACAAGGACAGTCGTGGATGGGATGGCTGGTGTGGTGGTTGAAAGAGTTGTTTCAGCTTTCACTGGTTTTGTTGTTGAAGAAAGACCCTGAGTGCTAACCTCATACCCAGTGGAGGATTCAACACTCACTGTTGTTGACACAAGTGTACTGACTGGCACAGCAGTTGTCTTTGTTAGCGTTGTTGGTTGACTGGATGTAACGACTGGTAGTGAAGTTTGTGTCACTGGGATAGATGTACTTGTGGATGTCAACGTTTCAGATGATGTAGCTGTTAACTCTTCTAAAGTGGTCGTGGCTGTAGTTGTTGGTAGACTTGTTTGAACAGTTGTTACCACCTTTGGCGGCCTGGTGGTGGACAAAGGTGTCTGAGATGTGGTCAATTCGTTCTCAGTTACAGTCTCAGTTGTTGTTACTTCTCCAGTTGTTTGAGTAGCTGTAGATGATTTTGAAGTTGTGTAGACACTGCTTGGAGATGATGTTTCTGTAGGTGGCTGGACAGTGGTGCTTCCCTCCACGACAAGGAGAGTGGTGGATAGGATGGCTGGTGTGGTGGTTGAAAGAGTTGTTTCAGCTTTCACTGGTTTTGTTGTTGAAGAAAGACCCTGAGTGCTAACCTCATACCCAGTGGACGATTCAACACTCACTGTTGTTGACACAAGTGTACTGACTGGCACAGCAGTTGTCTTTGTTAGCGTTGTTGGCTGCGTGGATGTAACGACTGGTAGTGAAGTTTGTGTCACTGGGAGAGATGTGCTTGTGGATGATGACGTTTCAGATGATGTAGCTGTTAACTCTTCTAAAGTGGTCGTGGCTGTAGTTGTTGGTAGGCTTGATTGACCAGTTGTTACCACCTTTGGCGGCCTGGTGCTGGACAAAGGTGTCTGAGATGTGGTCAATTCGTTCTCAGTTACAGTCTCAGTTGTTGTTACTTCTCCAGTTGTTTGAGTAGCTGTAGATGATTTTGAAGTTGTGTAGACACTGCTTGGAGATGATGTCTCTGTAGGTGGCTGGACAGTGGTGCTTCCCTCCTCGACAAGGAGAGTGGTGGATGGGATGGCTGGTGTAGTGGTTGAAAGAGTTGTTTCAGCTTTGACTGGTTTTGTTGTTGAAGAAAGACCCTGAGTGCTAACCTCATACCCAGTGGATGATTCAACACTCACTGTTGTTGACACAAGTGTAGTGATTGGCACAGCAGTTGTCTTTGTTAGCGTTGTTGGCTGCGTGGATGTAACGACTGGTAGTGAAGTTTGTGTCACTGGGAGAGATGTGCTTGTGGATGTCGATGTTTCAGATGATGTAGCTGTTAACTCTTCTAAAGTGGTCGTGGCTGTAGTTGTTGGTAGGCTTGATTGACCAGTTGTTACCACCTTTGGCGGCCTGGTGCTGGACAAAGGTGTCTGAGATGTGGTCAATTCGTTCTCAGTTACAGTCTCAGTTGTTGTTACTTCTCCAGTTGTTTGAGTAGCTGTAGATGATTTTGAAGTTGTGTAGACACTGCTTGGAGATGATGTATCTGTAGGTGGCTGGACAGTGGTGCTTCCCTCCTCGACAAGGAGAGTGGTGGATGGGATGGCTGGTGTGGTGGTTGAAAGAGTTGTTTCAGCTTTCACTGGTTTTGTTGTTGAAGAAAGACCCTGAGTGCTAACCTCATACCCAGTGGACGATTCAATACTCACTGTTGTTGACACAAGTGTACTGACTGGCACAGCAGTTGTCTTTGTTAGCGTTGTTGGTTGCGTGGATGTAACGACTGATAGTGAAGTTTGTGTCACTGAGAGAGATGTGCTTGTGGATGTCGACGTTTCAGATGATGTAGCTGTTAACTCTTCTAAAGTGGTCGTGGCTGTAGTTGTTGGTAGGCTTGACTGACCAGTTGTTACCACCTTTGGCGGCCTGGTGGTGGACAAAGGTGTCTGAGATGTGGTCAATTCGTTCTCAGTTACAGTCTCAGTTGTTGTTACTTCTCCAGTTGTTTGAGTAGCTGTAGATGATTTTGAAGTTGTGTAGACACTGCTTGGAGATGATGTTTCTGTAGATGGCTGGACAGTGGTGCTTCCCTCCTCGACAAGGAGAGTGGTGGATGGGATGGCTGGTGTGGTGGTTGAAAGAGTTGTTTCAGCTTTCACTGGTTTTGTAGTTGAAGAAAGACCCTGAGTGCTAACCTCATACCCAGTGGACGATTCAACACTCACTGTTGTTGACACAAGTGTACTGACTGGCACAGCAGTTGTCTTTGTTAGCGTTGTTGGCTGCGTGGATGTAACGGCTGGTACTGAAGTTTGTGTCACTGGGAGAGATGTGCTTGTGGATGATGATGTTTCAGATGATGTAGCTGTTAACTCTTCTAAAGTGGTCGTGGCTGTAGTTGTTGGTAGGCTTGATTGACCAGTTGTTACCACCTTTGGCGGCCTGGTGCTGGACAAAGGTGTCTGAGATGTGGTCAATTCGTTCTCAGTTACAGGCTCAGTTGTTGTTACTTCTCCAGTTGTTTGAGTAGCTGTAGATGATTTTGAAGTTGTGTAGACACTGCTTGGAGATGATGTCTCTGTAGGTGGCTGGACAGTGGTGCTTCCCTCCTCGACAAGGAGAGTGGTGGATGGGATGGCTGGTGTAGTGGTTGAAAGAGTTGTTTCAGCTTTGACTGGTTTTGTTGTTGAGGAAAGACCCTGAGTGCTAACCTCATACCCAGTGGATGATTCAACACTCACTGTTGTTGACACAAGTGTAGTGATTGGCACAGCAGTTGTCTTTGTTAGCGTTGTTGGCTGCGTAGATGTAACGACTGGTAGTGAAGTTTGTGTCACTGGGAGAGATGTGCTTGTGGATGTCGATGTTTCAGATGATGTAGCTGTTAACTCTTCTAAAGTGGTCGTGGCTGTAGTTGTTGGTAGGCTTGATTGACCAGTTGTTACCACCTTTGGCGGCCTGGTGGTGGACAAAGACGTCTGAGATGTGGTCAATTCGTTCTCAGTTACAGTCTCAGTTGTTGTTACTTCTCCAGTTGTTTGAGTAACTGTAGATGATTTTGAAGTTGTGTAGACACTGCTTGGAGATGATGTCTCTGTAGGTGGCTGGACAGTGGTGCTTCCCTCCTCAACAAGGACAGTAGTGGATGAGATGGCTGGTGTGGTGGTTGAAAGTGTTGTTTCAGCCTTGAATGGTTTTGTTGTTGAAGAAAGACCCGTAGTGCTAACCTCATACCCAGTGGACGATTCAATACTCACTGTTGTAGACACAAGTGCCGTGACTGGCACAGCAGTTGCCTTTGTTAGCGTTGTTGGTTGCATGGATGTAACAACTGGTAGTGTGGTTTGTGTAATTGTGAGGGATGTGCTTGTAGATGGTGATGTTTTAGATAACGTGGTAAATTCATACTCAGTGGTTTGATCTCCAGTCGTCTGAAGTGTGGACACAGATTGTGATTCTGTGGAAAGTGTTGTCCACACTTTACCAGTGACTGTTGGAAGTGTTTTTGTAATGGGTGCAATTGAGGTTTTTGATGTTACTGTACTTTGTGTCTCTATGGAACTTTCAGTGTCCGTTGTTCTCTTTGCTGTTGTTGATAAGGACAGTGTTGATGTTTGATCTGATGATGTTGAAGGCTTTGAAGTTACATATACCAGTTGTTCAGTTGAATGTTTAATTTCTGCAGTAGAAGCAGTTAAAATAACTTCAGTTGTTGGTCCGCTTGTCAATTGTTCTGGCTTGTTGGATGTAGATAAAACCTCAAGAGTTGTGGTTGTTTCTTTTTCAGTTTCCGGTGAAGTGTATTCTGTGGTCATCAAGTAAATAAGTTATTAAATGTAAGATGAATGTAAAATAAGCATTCAATAAGAAAAATCTTAAAGTAAATAAGAATAATAGCAAATTAATAATTTTGTGTACATGTTCAGTGTTTGAATAATATAAAAATATTTTTCAGTTCCATTGTCTGGAGAAGTTGTGATCATTTGTAATTGAATGAAAATAATCAATGTTTACTACTACAAGTCCTCCCAGTATAACTAATCCTCAATAAGCTTTGATTTCCAATGAATGAACCCTAAATATTCGAGCAATATATGAGGAAAAACTGTCTACTACAGAAATAACAAGGTACCTGGAGTGCTGAAGACAAAAACTGTTGTCGGGGTTGGTGTTAATTTCTGTGTTGTGTTCAGGGGGGATGTGACTGTTGGGACAGCAGTCGTTTCACAAGGTATCAAAGTCCTCTCAATAGTTCCATTGACTGAACATCTGCCTGTGATACATCCTCCCAGTCCATCCGTTGTGTGATAAATTACATCTCCAAAGTAGTACTCTACATTGTTGTATTGGCATGTACATGCTGTAAATGAAGAAAAAGTATGAAAAAAAAGAATATAATGAAAAGTAGATTCTGCTTTCAACTAAACTAAACTAATCTTCAAACTAAACTATAACTGAAATGGCAAAAATCTTACCATTTACATCAAAGTCACAGATAACACCAAATGATGAACAATAACTGCATGAAAAAAAAGCACAAATAGGATATTTAAAAACTATTAGTGACCTGTATGAAACTTGAATACGAGTAGAAAATACACATACCATGACTGACAGTTTTCTGTGGTTGGCACCTGCTGGCCAATTTGATAATGTAACATTTCAACAAAGCAGCCACAATCTTCCTGTGTCACACACTTCATGTTATCCTCATCAAAAACAGGCTGCTCCGGAGGGCATTTAGGATAGCATCCTAAAAAAGGTTCAAAGGGAAAAATATAAATCAGATAAAAAATAAAATAAAAAAAAACATCCATCCTGATGAGGCAATGTGAAGTTAAAATTAAGAATAGATTTCAGTGAATCAATCGTTGTGACAAATGTTTTGAAGACAAATATAAACTATAATATAAACTAACTACTGTATTCTATAAACTTGTCCAGTTTAGGGGACATAGCCTAATATGATGTTTTATGATTCTGATATTTGAATGATACATTTGCATGAATACTTGACAAAAAGCTGAAGCAAAATCCCCCCGAAATTATCTCTAGGGTTTCTATCTACAGTAGTAAATGTACACTGATTATTATGCATTATTTAAAAATATGTATTTAATAGAATAGAAAATAAGTGTGATGTGACAAAATTATTTCAATGTGTCTTCCAAATACAAGTATTTATAGTTGTTTTCTCAATAACATGCAAATGATATAACTGATTGTAATATAACTGAAGTTCTCACCTTCAAGCGCTGGTATCTGACTAGAGCAGTTTCCAGAAGGGTTTCTGCATGTCTGCATACAAGGAGCTCCACAAGGTTTGTAATGCCACTCACATTCACCCGGGGGGTTGTAATAATCACAGAACAATGCTGCAACGAAAAGGCAAACCTTAAACTTGTTTTAGGCTTTTGTGGTATACAGTTTTTAGTCATTCCTTTACAGCATGTCTGATGACAATGCGATAGTTATCAGTGACTCACGGCATATTTTAGGTGTTCTCCAGGCAACACAGGCTCCAGCCTCGTTACAGGCTTGTGCATAGGCTGTTACAGCAGTGCAAAAACATTCATAATCTCCACCACTATCACAGGCACATGCGTCTCTCACACAAGCATCATAAAAAGGAGAGGGGTCCACCTTTAAAGCAATATTCATGACAATGTGGCTGGTAAATGCGATCGATTTTTCAGACATAATATACTTAACATATGGATATTCAAGTTCCCTAAATAGCTTGTTGTAAGTACCTGTGAATGACATGTTGAGAAGACATTGCTAGTAATGATGCTGCACTGCCTCTGTGCCCAGGCCTCTCTATACGGATTATGGACACATGGTTCTTGGATGAGAGTTGCATCTGGACAACTAGAGAGCTTCCAGCTGTTTACAAAATCCAGGGCTTCGACAGCAATTGCTTGACTGCGTGTCGTGAAGTCATTGTTTGCGTTCCCATCGTAGTTTCCACATAGACCACACACACGCCCCTGTCAATATGAATAGAACACTGTTATTATAAATATGAATACGATATTTATATAAATATATATAATATTTAATAAATAGACTTGACAAAGATTGAGGTGATAGTCCTGCCACATTACTCACATTAAACTCTGGAGTCAGTTTGATGTGTATTGTTGTTTTTCTGTCCCAAATGAGCATCAGACCATTACTGGCCTCAATCACCAAGTAAAGCCCCATAGTGCGCATCTGGTAGGGAATCTCCTCTCCTGCATCTCTGTGAACAACTTGGTAGGATCCATCTGTCAATCTAAGCTCATTGCTCTGAAATATAAAAGACAAATGCAATGTTCATTCTGTACTAATTTAAGGTTTGATATGCCTGCTTTGGTAAATGCCAAGAGGTAACTCACTCCAAGAAAAAGCTTGATAGCCTTGGAACAAGTGGTGCCAGTGGATCCGCAGGGGATATTTTCAGTAATGACTCTAAAAGTGCCACTGGTGCCATTGCAGAAGTCCTAGGCATAACATGAACATTTAGATTTAGATTAAGTTATAAAGATCTTCAGGCCTCATAAGAAAGTGTAAGGTTAATACCTGAACAAGGCTGTATTCACAGTTTCCACTAAAGACGTATCTTTTCTCATCAAAGGTTCTATAATGACCATCTCCATAGATGCTGCATGTCCCACTGCACTGGTTTGTGGTACAAATCCATCGTCTATTCTTACAAGCACTACAAAAAGTAATGTAAGTGCATTATAAACAAGAGTATCTAAAATATAACAAATAATTAAAAATCTCACAGTTGTATTTACCATGTATTGCAATCAGTCTTAATGCTTTCCCCAGGTTGGTAGGCAACTCCATTATGGATGCAAGGACAGAGGTCTTCAGCAATGCAGCCACCTTTCCCATCTGACACCAGTCCAGATGGGCACACACAGCCAGACACACACTCTGTGCTGATCTGCAGTAATGCATATGCAATATTTCACAACAAATTATTACTGCAGAAAGGAATAATTCACCCTTACATTACAATTTATTGGTTATTTACTTACCCCAATGCCATTCTAAACCCATATGCTGTTATTTTCTCAGTGGAACACAAAGGGAGAGAGTTTATAGTGTCTTCACACCGCTCTTTTCTATACAGTCTTATTTTCCATTCTGCATATTAGAGCTGGTACTTTTGTGGTGTAATTATGGTGTTTTATCATCCCTCTACTATAGCAGAAGTACAGTGCACTATGACCATGTCATGTCACTTAAATTTCTTGTTTTGTGTTACACAGAAACAGAAAAACTAGCATACTGGTTTAGAATAACATAAGCATGACCTACACCTTTACAAGCATTCATGTAACTCACACAGGCCATGTCTAATGTTTTGCAGCTCTTCTGACACTCGGATCCCTTGGAACCAGGGCTAGCGCTGGAGCAGTTGAAAAACATCATTGGCTCTTTGCATTCTTAAAGTAAAGATTCAAAGAATTGATTAAGACAATGTAGCTGATGTCAAATAAAATCACTGAGAAAATAAATCTCAGAAAGTTCTAAAAACTATTCACAGTAACTTAGAAACATATTTTAACAGTTTAAATATAGCTTCTCTCTCTCTCTCTCTCTCTCTCTCTCTCTCTCTCTCTCTCTCTCTCTCTCTCTCTCTCTCTCTCTCTCTCTCTCTCTCTCTCTCTCTCTCTCTCTCTCACACACACACACACACACACACACACACACACAGATACACACCTTCCCCATTTGATCCACCAGAGCAGCTCAGTTTCCCTTGTTCGCAAATACTGAAATTTAAATATTAAGTTAAATATTATTAAATCACATTTGGGGCAGTAATCTACAACAGGGTTTTTCAAACTGAAGTCCGTGGACCCCCAGCATCCCCTTGGTTAAGATTATTATAAAATTTAAGAGAAAAAGAAGACTTGGAAAAAGATTGTGAAATGCTCCATAAAAATTTAGTTTGGCCTGAATACAATGATGATACTAAAATCAATTCTTTATTTTTCTCACAATGTTAACCTAATATTATTAAAAATGTGTATATACAGGTGGTTAGATTTTCATAAGAGTGCCTGAGGGTTTTTGGGGGTCCTTGACATAAGAAACTTTGAAAAACCCTGTTTACAAAATATACCCTGTTCAACAGAAATGTAACCAACTCCATGTCCATACCATGATCCTCCATCTTTGGAGATGGAGATCCCAGCAGGAATAATTTTGCCTGAATCAAAGCATGAGCAGCTGGCAGATGCAACACAGTCACCATTCTCGTTCATGTATGTTCCTTCTGCACAGCCACAGCCATCTACTGGCACAAAGTCAACGGCGCAGGTGCTGTCTGATTGGCTGAGGGATCGGCAAGTGCGGTCACAGCTGGTCATTTGATAGGAGTAGACCGTGGTGGCGAGGCAAGTTAGGGTGTACTTTTCTGAGAAGAAGAGAGGACATTTAGTTGAGTTGAACTACAATCCACTTAATCAACAAAACTTTTATTTGAGCTCCCATCTCACATATTGTTTTTAATCAGCATGACTTTTTAAGTAAAATCCCAAAACAGCTTGTCAAGCTATCAAATATCAATATCAAAATATCAAATATTCTCAAGCCTTTCTGAGAAGAAAGCAACTCACTGCAGGCAGCATCTCTCCAGCCATCAAGAGCAATCCCTCTTGCAGCACATGCATGTACGTATGAAGACAATGCAGCACACATACAGTCCTCACTCTTCTCACAGTTGCAGCTGTCATATATACAATTCTAACAAGTATGGAAAAGTTAGATTCAGCTTGAAAATAAATATTAAAAATATATCTTATTATATCTTATTATATATCTTATAAATTTCACTTACTGCTTTGTAGACTTCAGGGCTGATTTCGGAGTGGCAGGGGGCAAACACTGATGAAGGATCTGACAGCAGGGAGCACCAGTACTGTGCATATTTCTCTGTGTTTTTTTAGAAAAAATATCAGTTCTTGATGACATTCCAGAGTTACAAATGCAAAGTGTCGTGGAAATCACATGACAACAGTAAAGGTAAATTCATACCATTTTCAGTGCTAAGACTGCAAGGATTCTCAAAGTTTCTTTGAACATCAAGGCAACTTGCTCTTGTTTTCCAGGTGTTGGCAAAGTCCAAAGCTGTTCCTTCCCTGAGTCCGCCAATGGTTGTAAAGTCATCAGCCTCAATGTTGTTGAAATTGCCACAAAGACCTATGGATTGATTAATTAAATAAATTAATCTAGGATATAAAATCAAATTAACTGAAGACATGTAAAATATTGACACAGAAAAAAAAAAAATACAGAAAGCCTTCACATAAAGTAAAATATTCTGCTTTTGTCCAGAGGATTGTACCACGAGAGGGTTAACGCTAAGAGGTCTGCAAAAATAAATACCACATGTTTCTCCTTGGTACGCTGAATTGACTGTGATGTAAAGTTGCATTAACGGTTCAAGCTGGATCTCCAGACGAAGCCCAATCAAATGGGCCTGAATGATGATGAAGAATGAGGAGGGCTTGAAAATGCTCACATCAGCTGAAAATCAAATAAAAATAAAAATTTAGAATTACAGACATTGGTGTGTGTTTAATATAAGGCAAGATGTAGTAATCAAGTAGTTCTTTATATAACCATAGTACACATAACCATATATATTTTTTCTCTTGATCAGTCTTTCAAAACAAATATTCAATGCGCGCCAACATCATTTGAAATCAGATCACTGTAAGGATCACTGTTTATTAGTAACACTATGTCACTTTTTATATATAAAAAAAAAAAATATCAATGTTGTTATTGACAGTGTATAGTCGGTTTCAGATAGCCTAGCCGTTGTTTATTGGTTTATCCCATAGACAGTATAAGAAGTGGGCAGAGCCATCTCATTGGAACTCAGTTGAGACAGTTGAAGGCCATTTTTAGCGATTTTTGAGCACTTCCGTTCCTGACGCGCAGACTCAAACCGACTCAAACTAAGCTTGATGACGTGAGCAACCTGTCTGACAGACGTTACTCTTCTAGTAGCTGTGCGTGAAAATTGCCAACGTTAATCTTGCAGAGACGGGGAACTTGAGCAAAGAGTTCTTTGGCGTGAGTGAGCAGGAGTAAGTATTCCGTTGCTTTTATGGACTCATTATCTATGGGCTTCTCCCTTGACGGGACGTCCCCCTGATTGCCTGCGAGCTTCTCCTCCTGTCTGTACGGTAATTTCTGTATAGCGCGACAGAGAGTCGAGTGGTTATGACGCAATCGTTAGCCTATTTTTACAAAAACTGTTTCTACGGGGCCATAATGTAAAATAGAAGGTAATGGAGCCCTCTATACATTGTCGTGTTTCTTTAGAAATAAATAATGGACAAATGGAGTCTTTAAACGCCTCAGATGTAAAGTTATTCGCTGTCAAAGTGACGCCAAAATGAATGGGAGTCAATGGAAATGCTAACGCAAGTGAAGTTTTGCTGCAAGATGGCGGCACCCGGCCGGCTTCAACTTCCGGTCGATGGATTACCCCCTTGGTTTATCCGCTCTGATAAGATGTCAAATCCACGTGGTTTACCGGTGCCTCGAACCACATTCATGCACGCAAAGAAGCAGAGCCGAAGCACAATCAAACCAATCTTCTTCCGCAAGACACACGTTTTATTTTATTTTTTAACCGCTGGAGGGCCAAAAGTTACATATAGCTTTACTATCATTTAGCTATGTGATAGCTCTATTATGATAACACAAATTTATTCAGTATACCAACTGAATGTTTAAATAGGCTAAATTATATTTGTGTGCTTATTATTAATTAGTGAATTTATTTATTTATTTACCCCCCTACATTTTCTGTTGATTTGCCTACCCTAGCCTACCTGTAAAAAGTGGCAGCTGGGCAATTATTCTGTTGACCTCAATATTTCCACTGGAATCCACTTTAAACACCTGCGTACACAAATAGTTTCTGTTCAGAAATGCTTCAGAAAGACATGCAGATTATATATATAGTGTATATATAGTGAAACGAAACATTAGATGTGGTTTCATACATTTTTGATAAAAGCCTGTTCTGGTAAACATTATCTGTTTTTTCATCCCCAATCATTTTTAGTACTTACAGTATTTCCATTTGACAATGCCAAAGTTATTGCCTTCAAACAGGTTTCAGTTTCAGTCACACCACATTTTACCAGGTCTCCTTGAATTGTGAATTCTGTTCCTGTGCATTGCTTTCAAAAAGAAAGAAAAATGGACCAGTTAATTAATATAACCTAAAAAAATAACCTAATATATCTTAAAAACGTCAATAGAACTGTGAACATAGAGTTAATAATAAAATCAGAATCATTTTTAAGATAGGGTTTTGTTTGTGTGGGCTCACATTTTGTTTATCTTTTATACAGCCATAATCTATTTCTCTATGTCTGTACTGTTAACATAGATCTAGACTGTGGGTTAATTTGGTGAAAACAAAAAAAATATCCAATTATTTTCTTAAACTACAGACATGCAAATGTAATCCCTGTTTCCACCACACAACAATTTGCACCATTTGGATCTTATCATGTCAATCATGCAATCATGCAATTATTCCTAATATCTGCCTCATAACAGATTTTAATGGCTTTCCTAAAGCTCTTCAGTTATTAAGCAGAAACTCATAATTATCATTTTTTAGTTGAAGAAAAAAATACATTTTATTAATAAAATGAATTATTAAAAATAAAATAACTATCATCTGGACATTTATTATCTGAAAAGTTGCCTTCAAACACATACTTTGGATAGGACGTAAGTGCAGTCTCCATGAAAGGTGTAGGCTTTTCCATCATAAGTGGTAATATGGGATCCACCTTCTACTGAACATGCACGTGGACAATCCTTTTGGTTACAATTCCACTGTCCCTGTTCACAGGTACTAAATGGGAAATAATAATGTCAATGTAAACCTATACCTTTTAAAACACCCAGGCCTGGTTTCACAGGAAGTTAGTTCAATTTGGACATTTAAACGTGCCTTTAAAAAATTATTGCTGGTGTGCATCCTGAGACAAAACAATGCCACTGACATATTTTAAGATATGTCAGTGCAAGTTGCTTTCAGTTAAAACAGCTCAAAATTGCATTTCAGACTGGGAGTATCTTTAGCCTATAGTCTGTGAAACCGGGTCAATATAGTACATAATAGGCTATAATATTAAAACATTAAATCTTCAACTGCTTTTTTTTTTTTTTATCAATGGTTTTAGAAAATTGAGTGTGAATTTCAAACAACGGAGGCTTACCACTCTCTGCAGTTGCTTGTGTAATTCTCCCCAGAGGCAAATATTTTACCTCCAAGGATGCAGGAGCATTCACTGTGTGGAATACAGCCAGTCTTGTGTATGTCATCGAAAATAGTGCCTTAAAGCGAGAGAAAGAGGGAAATGGGTTATGGCTTAGACAGGGCTCACTTTCACTGAGAAAGAATGGACATGTTCAGAACACCAGTAAAAAAAAAAATACTAATTGTAAAACTAGCTGAGGTTAGGTGGATTTAGACAACCATTTACACTTTTCTAATCATGTCCAAGATTGTGTGTGTGTGTGTTCATATAGCAAGTGCCACAAAAGTCACCAAGTTTAGCAAGTTTAACAAGTATAGCAAGTTTAATCCCACCAGAGGATTACACAAAATAATATCAGATTATCAGACAAAAAGACATTAGATTAGGAAGGTATCAGTGAAATGAATGTAGTCAGTTACTTTAGAAGATAGTGTCAATAAGGAAAATCATAATAAAAACACTATACCAGGAGGGCAGAAGCATCCATCAATGCAGTGGCGCTCACACACTTGTCCTCTTTCAGGGTTGGTACAGGTGTCAGTACAGGGATTCCCACACTCTTGGTATACCATGCTTTCTGGGCACGGATGTGCTGCAATATAGAAACAGAGAGCATCGGTTATCAAAAAGAATACAAAACTACAAGAGGAGACTCTAGATCAGCAGGATTGCGAGGGTGATTAAGCCTCAGATCTTCTTTTGAAAACTCGCACAATGGTAAGACAAACATTGACAAAGAACTAAAAGAATGAGCCATGCACGGCATAAACATGGCATACTTACGACAAAAATATTCTGTTCTCCATTCTTCAGGCCTTCCACCTGCATGCACACACTGTCTAGAATATTCAGCGATAGTTTTGCATAGGCAGAAGGATCCAGAGGAGCCATTGCAATGGCATAAGTCTTTCATGCAAACTTGGACAAATGAATCGATGGAAACCAGACCTCTGCAATCACTGAACACTGAACTGGAGAAGATATCACGACAAAAATTCTGTGGAGAACGAGACAAAAAATAATCATTAACAATAATGATGACTACCGATAATAATAATTCCAAATACTCCCCTGCTTGTGATATAAATTCATTCACATTCAAAAATTTATTGATTTACTAAAGACAAAATATATATCTACAGTACCTGTGACTTGAACCCTGATTAAATATAATATGAGATTTAAAATGCTGAAAATGTTCGATAAGATGTGTTCCTCATTTCTCAAGTCATTTTAAATAAATGCATCTGCATTTCTTTTTTCAGAAGCATTAATTATATGCAAGTAAAAAATGGTGGGTGAAGTTTAGGACCAGAAGGACACTGGACAAGAAGAGAGCATAAACCAAAACCTTGAGCTATGCACTTTCTGGGCTGTAATAATACGTGTGGGGTCGTATAAAAGTCACAGCTAAATGACTATTTTATACATAATATGTTCTTGTTTTTTTAACACCACTACTACAAGAAAACGTGTTAAACCTGAATTCACCCCAGTCCCAATTTCAGTGGACACCCAAAACTGGCATTTTAACTGAAACTGGCCATTTTTTAACCCAAAAATTGAATTATTACCACCTCAGTTTTAAGGGGAGTTAATTGCTTGTCATTTCTGTGTGGACAAAGGAAAAGTCTAATGGAGTGTGAGCAATTCCATTTCTTACCTCATCTCCACAGTTTTCATCTAGAGATATTTTGTCTTCCTTACAGATTTCTGTTGGACCATCCATCTTCCAGAGGTTCCCATAATCAGAAACAGAAAGCTGGTTTGTTCCTAAAACAAGACATGCAATGATTCTTTATTGTCTCTGGACAATCATGTAAAACTGGCAAGAAAATTATATATTTTCCAATGGACATCATTGCAAAAATGAATAAATAAATGAACAAATACCATCACTGATGAATTCATTGTAATTCTGGATTCCATTGAAGTCACCACACAGTCCACATGTTTGGTTTTGATATTTTTCATCTAACTTGACCTGAAAATAGATTATATTGCACCTGTATTAGTTCCCTCCTCCTGTTGTTGGTTAAAGGGATAGTTCACCCAAAAATGACAATTCTGTCATAATTTTGCCCCATACTATGGAAGTAAATAGGGCCCATCAACTGTTTGGCCCATATTCTTCAAAACATCTACTTTTGTGTTCAGCAGAAGAAAGAAATGCATACAGGTTTGGAACAACTTGAGGGAGAGTAAATGATGACAGAATTTTCATTTTGGGGTGAACTAACCCTTTAATTAAGTAGGCTATTGGAGGCAGCTGGTTTGTTGCTTACCATGAAAGAATCATCTTCATTCCACATGGCTACTAGCCCCAAAACAGCCTTGACTGCAATATAAGATGTCATCTTCTCGATGAAAACTTCAGAGTTGGTAAATGGAAGTGTCACTCTACAGATAAAGTGGTAACATTAGACACTGTATTTTTTTCCAACTCCCCAAACCACCACCACCAAAAAAAGTGAAGATTGACAGCAATGTGAGATGAAGTCAGAAGTCAACACAGTTGAAGTCAGATTATATGATCTGAAAAATCAAACAAACTTAATCAGAATCACTCACATTTGCCCATTTACGCTGAGAGAGCCTTTAGTAAGCTCTATTGTTGTCCCCTGTAGTTTCATCATGATTTTGCTGATTGTTGGATCGTTGTTCACCACCTGATGCCTCAATTGGATGTTAAAGTCTTCATAGGTGGTCGAACAGTGCGATGTAAAAATGTAGTTGCAGGAAGATGAAAGCTGGAAGTAGTCCCCATCATAGGTCTTGAAATGGTAGTTACCCCAAGCACTACAAACCAGCTCATTGTGTTGTGAAGTCAGTCCTGGTAAAAAAAAAATACAAATAATTAGTTTTTTAATTAGTTGATTATGAAAAAAACCTTTGATTTTCAATGATTTGGAGATTTTTACCTGAAGCAAATTCTATTGTAGCACTTGGTTGCATGTTCATTGTTGTGAGAAATGCTGGAGGAGTTTGAGAAATATTCATGTTAAAACTCAGGTAAGAATCATTTCTTTGAATGCTTTACAAAACGCCCAAATCTTACATTTTTCAGTTCCACTAAACATAATTTAATTACAACAAATTGTCTTTATAATATCTCATAAATATTTGATAGTTATCTTCTCTTTTTAGTTATTCAAATCATTTCTGCCTTTGATGATGATATTTCAGAAAGTTGATTCATAAATCTGAACAAATTCTTTCAAAATATTAGCATGACATTACATGTAACTGTAATTATATAATTATTGTATTACTACAATTCTACTAGAAAAAATGATAATTTTACAATCAAAGTAAAATCCAGTATTGAGAAACACTTGTTATAAATTTGTCTTACTGGTTTGTGTTTCCGCAAGTCCAATAGACAGTGTCACCCATATCAGCACTCCTATAGATGTTCTTTTTAACATCTCCATGGTGTTGGTGGAGCGTCAAGCTCTCCACAAGATCAATAAGAAAGAAACAGTCCTATGCTCAGAGTTTTATACTTGTCCTTCAGAAGGGACGTAAGATTGAACTAAAGGTGGGGCCAAATGTTTATCTTCCATGACAGCATAATGTAACATTTAGCTGATAGATTTCCATACCTGATTTTAGAATCCGTGACTAAAACAGGTAATTCAAATACCACATAAGAGAATACTAATAAGAAGAATGATCTCACAGAAATTTGAAGCCACATCCATTAATATTCAATCAAAGATGTTTATGTTGATTTTTAAGTATTCTTCTTTCAACCATGCACCCTTTTTCTAATGCCATATTTATTCTATCTTTATAGTTATACTTCCTTACTGTTTTTTATTTTTATTTTGCCTGGTTATAAGAATTGTAATTACATTTAGTCTTAGTCTTAGACAAAAACACTCAGTCTTGTTTAGTAATTATGACTATATTTAGAAATTATATTTCAGCCAAACCATCTATATAAAACATCACCATGAAAGAACAATTTGATCATTTGGTTTGATCATTTTAGTTTAGGTATTGATCTGTTTCCAGGACTTTTTATTTGCATTTTGATCTCCATCTGTTTACAAAAATGCTGAAAACATGTTATAACAGAATAATAGAAATATTTGAAATAGCTGCATGTAAATGTTTGTGATTTTGGTGTGCCCTTTTTTTATAATGCAACAATCTTTAGAAGAGAAATGATTGTAACAATGCATGGGGTGGGGTACCTTTTTGAACTAATGATGTATAAATATTGAGTCTTTAGTACATTTAATCCTCAACTTTGTGAACACTCCTTAACAAAACTTTAGGCCCTGTACTTTTGTGTAGTGGAAGGAAATGTTTTTGCATAATAGCAATTATTGCTTGTGACCAATAGTGTGAGTCATGAGATTTTTCCAGGATCTACATCCTGATCAAAGGCAATTTTAATCTAAACCCCAAAATTTAAATAATCATATAATAAAATTATTAAATAAATAATTCTCTCTCATAAAAAAAATAAGAATTAAAAAATGATTAATTATAGCCTCTGTCATAAATAATCATATTTAGGATTTGCTATCTTCCAAAGCAGAAACGTTCGACTTTTTTGTTATTATCAATTTACTGTTAATAGTATTACTATTATTTTTAATTAAGACTAAGGCGATCCACTCTCCAAAACCTTCCAAACCACCCTAACCTCTGGTTTATGTCTCATGAGGTTGTGTGCGTAGCCACCAAGCCTATGAAAAATGTTTGTTGAAACTGGGAGCTCTGACATGTTTTCTCACAGTCTTCGTCATATTCTGCTATAAGGTGCATTATCTCACAAGCACAAAGTAAACATATGGAGCTTAATATGGTCTTTGGGGTAAACTTGATTCAGTATTCTGAAATAAGCTCAATGGCTCAACAACGTAATTCAAGCACACATTGTGATGATTGATGTTCTGCTATGGCATAGTATATCCTAGTAAAGATTAAACTTAGGTAAGTTAAAGCCTTTATGTAAAGGTCATTTTCGCAATAATTGAATAAATACACTTGAGGGAGAGAAGAAGGAAAAAATATCTATCTTAAATGAAAGCTATGATGTATGCTTTGGCTTTTTCAGATTTAGAAATGGTTAAGTATAATCAATATTAACAACAAATTTATTATTTATTATTTATTTATTATTTATTATATTATTATTTGGAGCAAAGAATTGTGATTTATGTTACAAGAGCCATAGAACAGATATCTGGATATTGTTAGTTCTTGTGACAAATAGCTTGTGATGTTCCTTATTTGTAAGTCATTTCAGATGATAGTGTATGCTAAATGAATAAATATAAACGTTTCTCGTTGATCTGTCACGTTATGTTGCAAAACTGATCATATATGATGACGATATATGTAATATGCGTGTGCACTGGATAAACAAAAAATTAAATGTTAATGCTGTAAGTGTATATTCCTCAGTAAGAGTAAATAATAAAAGAAAAATACATTATATTTTATATATTAAATACAATTTATGTACAAAATACATTTATTTGACCCCAATTAAAAAAAAAAAAGTAAATTATCAAATGTAAATTACATTTGTACTTGTAATAGCAAAACTTCATTTTCAGGATTTATTACTCTAAGAAAACCTTACATAATATCACAGACCGGATCATAGAGACGGGCATCCTGGAGAGTAGAACTCAGCAAAGCACTTTATAACCCTTGCAAACGAGGGGAGTAACTCTATTCGATCCTGGATACACAGTGCTTCAGAGCCCTGTGGAGGCTGGGCACTCTAAAAGGGACCCTAATAAGGGGAGCGCCTCCTGCTCTAGGGCTGATCTAACAGGGAGGCCTCGTGAGAGTCCTTCAACCTTCCAACCAGATTTAGGGAGCAAAGTATTCAACAGAGCTATCCTCAGATAGATTCTGGAACACTATGCTCAACCTGACAAGTATTGACCAAGCTCTGGGCTAGACTCAGGGATGCTCCATGGGACCTGCAATATCTTTGCAATGCTAAGCATCCAGCTCGTTGTGGAGCCGCCTAACTAATTAATAGCAAGGATATTAGCAGAGCTAGCCTCAGAAGCCAGGTGCTCTCAAAGTTTACATCTCTGCGGGCTTAGTCATACTTATTTGACATTGCCAACAGGCAGTGTACTCAGCAGAAGTGCTATCGACCCTTTAACCCTCTGGGGACCAAGTGTCACGGAATGGGTAAGACAACAAGGTGTGAGGACTCAAGTGCAGGAGAACATAAAAGTTTAATTATAAAATAAACAAACACAAACCAAAACCTACAAGGGGGAAAAACACAATGAATAACAATAAAACAACAACCTGAACAGAGGATCACGGGGAACGGGAGACATTAGACAACGATCCAACAAGGACTGCAAACAAGAGGAGACTTAAGAAGGGAACAAATCAAGAGGGAACAGGTAGGAGAACTCAAACAATAATCAGGTAACGAGGGGGAGGGATCAGACAATGACAAGAGCACATGGCTCAACATAACAAAACACCCATGTGCATCACAAGACAGGACAGACATGTGACATAACCCCCTCCCTACGGAGCGGCTACCAGACGCTCCATCAGACCAGGGCGGGACAGGAGGGACAGGCCGGGGGGGGGGACGGGAGGGACAGACCAGGGCGAAACACAGAGTCCATTGGGCGGCCAGGGCGAAACACAGAGTCCATCGGGCGGCCAGGGCGAAACACAGAGTCCATCGGGCGGCCAGGGCGGTGAAGACCCCTCGGGCGGCCAGGGCGGTGAAGACCCCTCGGGCGGCCAAGGCGGTGATGCCCTCTCAGGACCAGACACCTGTTGTGGCAAAATCAATTATTAAACAAAAAGCATCACGTTAAGAGACAGGATTCCAAATTGTATAAAAAGAAAGTATTTTATTCTTGCTAGAATAGTTCCCAGTCAACCAAACAGACCAGCTGCAGGCAGAGTGAGACAAGGAGCAGATTCTGGCTAGCAGCTTTATGCGGTTCTCTTCAATGCAATCTCTTGTCAATTGTTATTTAGATAAGAGGGACAAAAGGACTGGCCACCCCTTAGATCCCCTAACCCCAGGGGTTTTCTCACCTCTGCCTTCACAGCTGTGTAAAACATGACAATAGAAAAACAACGCTTTCTGTTCTCTTAATTCAGGAATACAGATAAAGAGAATAAAATCAAATGAAAATATAAACATTTTCCATAACAATTCCCACTTTTTTTATCATTCTCTTTGATTACTTAATAAACATAATTTCAAGTCATTGTGTCACAGTTATATTCATCCAATTGAACAGACATCCCAGCCCCCCATCAGTCTCTGTACTGATCTGGAAACACATCACAATGCATGACAGACATTACAACATTGAAATTGGCAGTACAGTTTGCTATTTAATACCATATTCAATCAAATCTATCCAGAAAAAAAAGGTTTATATTTTATCCATTCTTCTAACCAATGTAGTTGTTCAAAATTAACCTTGACTTTTTACTTATAATCACTTTGATTAATAGATTTTCTACTTTTCCTGTAAACATTTGAACCAATCAAATCATTAAATCTATATCAATATCAATTTGATTCAATCAAATAAAATCATCATATTCATCCAAATCATCACTACATGAAACCCATAAATGTGCTCTTGTACTCTTCATGTCTGATTTTTGTACCTGATCACTCTGCTTGAATTTTGGAAAGTAACACAAATTTTAAAAGTAAAACATTTGTAGCAAATAGGTAAGTAGGAATAAAAAGAAAAGAAAAGAAATAAAACAAATAATATCATTCCTCATTGGTCAGAGGTTTGGTATGGTCAGATTAAAATTTGTAAACATTTCTTAAATTGATGTACTTCAAAATATGGTCAAGGGAGATCTTACAAGCTCTTACACTGTTTCTGTAAACATTTAAATACATTTCATTACAACAAAAACAACAAATGCTGGTTAAAAACCCCATTTCATGAATTAATGTCCAAAAACATTGTTGAAAGTAAAAATGGACAAAATACAAATAAACAGAAATCAAATAAACTTTCAGAAATGTTTCAAAAGCATCAATGAAAATACAAATATTTGTACTTGGGTGAAAATGAGACATACATTTTAAAATTTAACTTGGTGAGACAAATGAAAAACTTAAATGATAAAGTAAAACCAAAGAAAAACAAAACAAACAATTACTGTATGAAATTCACAGTTATAATTAAGTCTAGATGTAAAGACCTAATTAAAAATTGTATACATTAACTTTTGTGAGACAGAATCAGATAGATGCAGATTTGACTTTGTGTGAAGATCAAATGATGTCATCTATGTGGCTGTATTTAGCTGTGGCTAGCTATGTGTAAATTCATCATGTCCCAAAACAAAGATGAGGGAGTTTTTTTTACAATTGTGATGCAAATTTGGTCCTGTTTGTTCTAAGAGGGAGCCAGCATGAGAATGTGAGTATGGGATGTGATCTGGCTCAAAATCTTCCCACACCAATGTTTTGTTAAGGAGCATGACAAAAGTGCTAAGTTCCTGTTGTGAGGAAAACATTTTCATGGTTAATGCAATTGTGAAGCACATTGTAGTCACATGGTAATTCTATGTTCCTCTATCTGGTCTTACTCTAGCTATATTGAAAATAGCAGAGTTTTCCACCAAGGAAACAACCAAACCCAACAGCCTGTATCAAAATCTGCATGCTCTGTAGAGAAAAAAACAAAAACAAATTTTGAGTTTAAGTACACATAGTTTCCAAACCCAACAGCCTGTATCAAAATCTGCATGTTCTGTAGAGAAAACAAAAACAAATTTTGAGTTTAAGTACACAGTTTCTTTTCGCCCTGGCGCTTCCCGTCGAAACAGTCCTGCAATATTGTTATGGAGAAGAATACAGCAATTTACAGCAATTTTTCAATTGTTACCATCCCCCTTTTGATGCATGAATTAACTCTTGCATCAATTTAACACAATGGTGCGCTCTTATCAGAGCATTTGAAGGCCAACAGCCCTCAGTCTTACAGTGTATCCAAGGTCATCAATTGTTTCTGTCAGGTCAGGTCGTGCTGTACAGACTTGTCAATGTCAGTCATTATTTTCCCTTTGTTTACAATAATCATAAATGTTAAGGGCTCTCTTGATAATTCGATATCTGAGCCAATGTGTCACTTTGTTCTTGCCATAAAACCTATAACCTTTTGTTTATCCCAACCCATGACTGATGTTCTTTTAACTTCACAATTTCAACTTTCATCAGTACTTAAACTGATCCAGAAAGTAATTCAAATCTAACTGTGCATCATAAATGACCAAAATTTGTGACTAGCAGACAAAACTTGATTATCAATTTGACTCAAAATTATCAACCTCTCTTGAATTTGTTATTCGCCTTAACTCATCAGTGACGATAGAACGTACTCGGTTACTAACGTAACCTCGGTTCTCTCTAGAGAGGGAACGAGTACTGCGTAATAGCTTACGCTATAGGGAAAACCTCTTTTCCACGAGATATTGAAGCCAAAAATTATCCTTAATTTTTTATTAATGTAAAACGCTTTGCAGCAGCAAGCAAACATAGGCGAGACAGCTCGCGCGCCTATTGGCTGCTCTTGCAGGAAATACAGCAGCCTATCGAGAGAGACTCTGCGTGACGTAATGACCAATGGGGGCAATTCGTGCCCATATCGTCACGTCCCGCCAGAAAGGGCGTGGTCTCGCCCTATAAATAAGCTCGGTAGGCTGGTACAAGCTGGTTTTCATCGCCGAAGCGAACCAGAGCGTATTCCAAGCACGGCAAGATACGCAGTACTCGTTCCCTCTCTAGAGAGATCCGAGGTTACTTTAGTAACCGAGTACGTTCTCTTACGAGAGTATCTCTCGTACTGCGTAATAGCTTACGCTATGGGGATCCAACACCAAAGTCCCAGGGGCCGAAACCCAGGGCTCATATAGTGCATAATCACCATAAACTCACATAGAGTGGAGGAAGAGAGGCTGGAAGCATCATTCCTTATAAAATAGCACCCAGAGGGGCTAATCATATGACAATTAATCGCGCAGCCAGGGTGAAAGCTTTCAGCCTGATCTGGGTGGCCATACGTGTGTCAACACTCATGGGGCTACAGTAAACTCAGTATCTGGGCCGCACAGCGGGGCAGATAGCACTGAATTCTAGACCGCCAAAAGCTTAGCTTGTAAGGGGGGTACCTCCAGGTTATAGTATTTTATAAATGTAGACGCCGAGGCCCAGCCCGCGGCCGTACAGATATCTTGCAAGGTAACCCCGCTAGACCATGCCCACGAAGAGGCCACGCCTCTCGTGGAGTGCGCTCTGACACCCAAGGGGCACTGCAGGCCCTTTGCAGTGTAAGCGAGCGTAATGGCATCCACTATCCATCTGGATAGGCTCTGTTTTGAGGCGGCAAGTCCCTTGGAACGGCCGCCAAACAAAACGAAAAGCTGCTCAGTCTGTCTGAAACCAGACGAGCGCGACACATAAGCTCTTAACCCTCTGAGGTCTAAGGGCATTTTTTCACTTTTTCCTTCGATTTTACAAATCTTATTAAATTCACCTTTTAAAGGTAATTACATAACATAATCCCACATGTTTTATATCAAAATGTGCAGAGAAAACCCAGCTCTCTTACTGGTGAGTTCACCACTTGTCCTGGAGAATTGTCTAAAGAGAGAGAGAGGGATAACCTGTCTCTAAAAGGTGAAAAATTTAAGTCCGATTTTTGAAATTCTTCAAATCTCTTGTGAAAACATACCATTACTCATGTGGACGAATTATTTTGGTCCTTGAAATGGGTTTCCCAAAGTCTTAGGGTCACAAAAGGAGTGTAATATATGAATAAAATAGTAGATAATGAATAATCATTGTCTAAAGTGACATTTTTGAAAAATCGTTTTTTAGTACAAGTTTTGTCTGTGACTCTACCTTCACCAAATGTTAGAGGGACTGAGATAAAATAGGACTAAAATAACTTCCTACTACATATCAAGCTTTATGGGATGTGTGCAAATGAAAAAGTAGCATTACAACAGGTCTTTCTTTCAAGCAAAATGTTTACTTTGTGAAAAAAACTCACTACTAACAATATTCACAAAATGTACACATTTTCATGTTTTACATGTCAAAAAAAAAATTCAAACCAAAGATGAACTATATATTAGAAATATATATATATATATATATATATATATATATATATATATATATATATATATATATATATATATATATATATATATATATAAACTTACCACTATTTACAATATTTACACAATGTGCATGTTTTCATGTTTCAGTTTTTCAGCTGTCATGCCATGCTGCAAAACAGTTTCTGTCCAGCTGCATGCAAAGCGCAACACCACACTCCCTGCATTTCCAAGGTGTGTCCTTTCTCTGGCCTTGGCTTTGGCAATGCTCACACCTGCTGCGACCTGTGGTGGCTTTTGTGGAAGAATCTGCTGCATGAACGGCAATTGGCACAGGAATATGACCTGCAGGTACCGGGACCGGAGCAGTGTGAAGAGGCTTACCACAGAGTTCAGCAGTCAGCTCCTCCATGAAAGCTCTGTGTGTCATGGGTGTTGTTTGCTGGGCCAGACAGAGTTCCTTGTGGAGGATGTAGCTGTTGGTGGTGGCAATGTCCAGAAAATGGTAAAACAGGTGTCTGTACCAGCGCATTGTTTTGTGTTGTGCAGAGTAATATTGAATGAGCTGGTCTGAATGATCAACTCCCCCCATGTGTTCATTGTACGCCAAAACTGGTGTGGGACAGGGGATTGATGTCTTTGTCCAAGAGCCATCTTGTTGTTTCACCCTCCTCTGAACAGTGTTACCAGAGTGTGCTGTGTGAAGTGTGGAGCAGACTGATACTTCTCTCGTGTCCATCCATTTCACATAGATGAGGGGCCCGTCCCGGATCCATCTTATGGAGCCTCTTTCTGATTTTTTTGTGAGGGCGTTATTTGTTGTCCGAGGGCAGTCCTTGCGGTTCTCCCTGTAGGTCCCACAGGCAGCAAATTTTTGCTCATGGAGAGCCCTGAAGAGTTTGGGGCTTGAATAAAAATTATCCATGTAAATGTGGTAGCCTGTGCCAAGGTAACCTGGTTGTACCAGGGACATCACAACATCATAGGAAAGGCCATGTCCAGAGGGGATGTCACTTTTGCCGGTGTAAACGGAAAAGTCCACTGTATAGCCATTCCGTGAGTCTGCCAAGACAAACAACTTGAATCCCCACTTTATCGGTTTTGCCTTCATGTACTGCGTCATCCCAGTTTTGGCCTTTGATGCAACCATTCTTTCATCCACAGCCACATCTCTGTGAGGATGATAAAATGACTTGCAGGCATTTTTGATGGTGTTCATCAGGGGTTTCAGTCTGAAAAGTTTGTCATGGTCAGCTGTGCCCTTTTTTTTGTCGTTCTGGACATCCTCTTCAGGGTCGCTAAGGTGAAGGTTCCAAGAAAGTGCTCTGTATCTGTCCCGTGGCATGATCTGCACTGGAAGTGGCAAAGAGAAGAAGTGATTCTGTCTCCAGTAATCTGCAATGCTGTCGAGTTTCACCATGGCCATGTACAGAAGCAGTCCAATGTACTTGTAAAACTCCCCTATGTTCACATCTAACCATTTATATTTCTTTCCCTGTGCCATTTGTTTAGCAGCCTGCTTGTTTGTGTTTTGGCACAGTGTTTGTATGATTTGTACAGGGAAGAAAAGTTTGAAGAGGTCGAGTGGTGTATATGTGGAAGTGGAGCTGAGCTGTGGCCCTGGTGTTCGAGCTGGTTGAAACCTGGAGACAGGGGGAGCGATGTCTGGGTCTTTTTCCGTCTTCCAAGACAGTGGAGCTGGCTGCTGTGTAGGTGGGGGTGCTGGTTGATGCTGGGCGTTACGGGACCTCTTGGCTGGCCGGGTTGGTGATGATGGTTGCTGTGTAGGTGGGGGTGCTGGTTGATGCTGGGGGGTACGGAACCTCTTGGCTGGCCGGGCTGGTGAGAATGACTGCGGTGTAGGGGCTGGTGGTGACCTGGTGGCAGGCACAGGTGAGGCTGCCTGTGTTACACTGGGCCCTGGTAGCTGTGAATCCTCTCTGAAAAAACACAAAAACATAAAGTTTACATCTCTCTCTCTCTCTCTCTCTCTCTCTCTCACACACACACACACACACACACACACACACACACACACACACACACACACACACACAAACCAATCTCCACCTAACAAGAATGTGGAAGATGTGTGAGGATTTGACTTATTTTAACGTTATTCCAATTTATCACATGTGCTAGCTATCCTGTCCACCCCAAATCACAGCAAATAACACCTGAATGAGATGTGGGAATACTGTCTCTTCCATTTCAAAACTCCACAGAGATTTATAATTTTACATTCAGTATAAATATAGGCCTACTAAACATAAATAAAATTATATGAAAGATCAAGCCACATCTATACAAGTATAAACAATATGATAAAAAAGGTCAATGGCCAAACCATATCGATTCATCACTACAAGAGATAGGCCTAATGTTATTCAAATTGTGAATTGAGGTGAATAAATATTACATTAGTTATCATAAGGAGACCAGCAAGAACAGCCTACAACGTTACTATTTGTAAGTGTACCCCGGTTTTACACAAGAAAATAACTTTTACATAAAGTAAACACTTTGCTAAAGGCACAGTCAATTTGTCAAAGCAGCACAGCGCAGCTTATTTTAGCCAAGATGGTCACCATGCGAACGAGGTTTTTATAAAATAAATACGCTTACCCGTCCTCAACTGGATCTCTTCTGTGATCATAATCCTCATCTTCATCAGAAGAAAATCCATCAGGCTCGGAAACTCGCCTTTCATCCTCGTCGCTGCTATCCAAAATCGCCGCAAGTGCGTCTTTCAATGTCAATGTCTTCGCCATTTTCACTCCTCGTCTTCTTCTTACTTTTCCTCTTCTTTATATATATTTTTGCCATGTTTTTTTCGCGGACTTTTTCTTTCGCGGACTTTTTTACTCTTTCTCTCTCCATGTCAGCTGGTATTTTCCTCACTGTGAGGAGATGGGAGGGTACTTAGGGATTTCAACCGCATCTATTGGTTGGTTTCACACAAAATGCAGACAGGCAAGCTAGCCCACCAATCACGCACGGTGAATGACCATCTTGTCTTCCCTCTTGCTCTCTGTGTGAGTCACATATGATCTCGCGAGAATAAGGACGTTGAAGCTGAGAATCTGTCGATTACGGCAAAATCAGAACCATTTATGTGTGCTGCACAATCGCGGAGATATTAATAGAAACATTGAGTAAACATTGAGTTGACGCGCCCGCGCGTCATCCGACCTCAGGGGGTTAATGCCCTGACGGGGCAAAGGAGACTCGCGTCTTTCTCCTCATTGAGAACCGGAAGGGCAGACAGGGAAATCACCTGGGCCCTGAACGGTGTGTTGAGGGATTTCGGCACGTACCCGTGCCTAGGTTTGAGTATGACCTTGAGTCATTAGGCCCAAACTCCATACATGACGCGCTTACCGAAAGCGCTTGTAAGTCCCCTACGCGCTTCACTGAAGCGAGAGCCATGAGAAACACCGTTTTGAAAGACAGATGTTTCATGTCTGACAAATGGATTGGCTCGAATGGGGCACCTTTCATGGCTTCCAACACCGTGGAAAGGTCCCACATCGGGACTGAAGGGGGCCTGGGAGGGTTCAATCTCCGAGCTCCCCTGAGGAAACGCACGACTAAGTCGTTCTTCCCCAGTGGCTGGCCAGACGCCGGTTTTGCAAACGTTGCTATGGCCGCCATGTATACTTTGAGCGTGGATGGGGTTCTGCCCTTATCCAGCAGCTCTTGAAGGAAGGAAAGCACTTCCGTAACCCCGCAGTCTACGGGTGAAAAGCCCTGAGCTTGACACCAAGGAGAGAACACAGACCATTTCGAGGAATAGAGCCGTCGAGTAGACAGAGCTCTAGCCTGCGTGATCGTGTTTAACACTCCCTCCGGGAGGTTAGCGGGTACCCGTTGATGGCCCATGCGTGCAGGGACCACAGATCCGGGCGAGGATGCCAAATCGAGCCCCCTGCCTGAGAGAGGAGGTCTCTCCTCAGTGGTACAGGCCACGGGGCAGTGCTGGCCAGCTGCATCAGCCTGGGAACCAGGTCTGGTTTGTCCAGAGCGGGGCCACAAGCAGCACTGGGCATCCGTTTTCCCTGATTCGTTCCAACACTTGAGGCAGGTGCGAGACGGGGGAAAAGCATATAGGGGAACGCAGGGCCAGACATGGGCCAGCGCATCCCTGCTCTTCAAGCAGAAGTTCGGACACTGAGCGTTTTTCGTGGGACGCGAACAGGTCCACCTGCGCTCTGCCGAACGTTTCCCACAGCAGTTGGATCATCTGCGGGTGCAGTGACCATTCCCCTGTTGGGACATTGTTTCTGGACAGTCTGTTTGGTCCCACATTCAGGTGACCAGGCACATGCGCTGCTCTCAGCGAGAGCAGGTTGTGCTGAGCCCAGACCAGAAGGCGTTCCGTCAACCTGTAAAGGTTTCGGGACCTGACGCCGCCCTGCCGATTTATGTGTGCCACCACTGACATGTTGTCCGACCGGACCAGGACGTGGTGATCTTTTATCTGGGGACAGAAGCACCGTAGCGCTTTGTCGACTGCTATCATTTCCAAGCAGTTTATGTGAAGGAGCTTTTCCCGTTCTGACCATAGGCCAGCAAACGGTCTGCCCTTGAGCAGCGCTCCCCATCCCGAGGTGGAGGCGTCCGTAGACACCACCTGCACACTCGAGGCGGTCCCCAGACTCACACCTGACTGATACCAGTCGGTTACTTTCCAAGGTTTCAGAGCTGAAACGCACTTTAGATCGACCCTGAGGCAAAACAGATCAGCGGTCCGTGCCCAGGGCGGAACTCGCGCTTTCAGCCACATCTGCAGTGGGCGCATGCGAAGCAGGCCCAGCTGGAGTACAGAGGCTACTGAGGCCATCAGGCCCAGTATTTTCTGATACCTTTTGAGCGGGACTATAGAGCCGTGGCGGAAGGAGTTTGCGACGCGCTGAATGTCTAGTCTGCGCTCCGGTGACAGGCGTGCTGTCATGGATAGCGAGTCCAGCACTGTTCCCAGAAAAGAAATTTTCTGACTGGGAGACAGCGAGCTTTTCGCCCAATTGACTGTGAGGCCCAGATTCTCGAGGTGTTCGAGTAATGTGGCCTTGTGTTCTATGAGCTCTGAGTGTGATCGAGCTAGAATCAGCCAATCGTCCAAGTAGTTCCAAACTCGCATGCCCCGAAGTCTCAGGGGTGCGAGAGCCGCGTCCATGCACTTCGTGAATGTACGGGGTGCTAGGAACAGGCCGAACGGCAGGACTGTGTATTCATATGCCTGGTCCTCGAAGGCGAATCTCAAGAATCGCCTGTGATGGGACGCTATTTGTATTCGGAAATAGGCGTCTTTCAGATCTATTGACATAAACCAGTCCTCTTGGCGAACTCGCGCGAGGATTTTCCTGGTTGTCAGTATTTTGAACTGGCGCTTTCACAAGTGCTCTGTTCAGCTGTCGCAGATCTAAAATGGGTCTGAGACCTCCATCTTTTTTCGGTACCAGAAAATATCTGCTGTATAGGCCCCCTTCGCTCTGAGCCTGAGATAAAGGTTCTATAGCACCTTTGCTCAGTAGTTTCGCTATCTCGGCTCGAAGTAGATGTGCTACTTCTGTTTTCACCATGGATTTGACGCGGGGGCGTCGAGCGAACTGTAGCGAATAGCCTCTTTTTATAGTGTTCAGCACCCGTTCTGTTACCCCAGGAAGCTGTGCCCACACTTTCGCGTGAATAGCTAGGGGTAGAATGAGATCTGGGCTCTGGCCGTGACATAGTGACGGCAAGGGAGCTCCGGCGTGCTGTAACGCAGACACTGTGTTTACAGTGTTCAGCACCCATTCTGATACCCCAGGAAGCTGTGCCCACACTTTCGCGTGAATAGCTAGGGGTAGAATGAGATCTGGGCTCTGGCCGTGACATAGTGACGGCAAGGGAGCTCCGGCGTGCTGTAGCGCAGACACTGTGTTTACAGTTTGTGAGGCGGGGGGCGCGCCGATCACGGCGGGCAGCCTGGCCGCGCTCAAATCCCTTATAGCAGTTTGCTGAGGGGGGCGGGGCGAGCCCCGTGGGGCTCAACATGTCTGTGAGTGAATGTGGGCGCGGGACAGCGGGCACATTTACTGCACTGAAAACACCGTCGGCCTGAGCTGACTGAATGTGTGTTGGTTTCGTTTTTACAGAACCCGTGGGACATGTGGTGTGTAGTGTCTGTGGGCACTGAGACGTGGGCACATTCACTACGTTTAGTGCACAATCGACATGAGGCGATTTTGTTTGTGCGAGCCCTGCATTTTTGCGGGCTGTGTTTGTGTGTAGAAATGAGCACTGGGTTGTGGGCATTTTTATTACACTCATAATACCATCGGCTGTGGCCGGAACACCAGAAAATACACTGCTTATGTGATTAATCTGGGTCGCCGTGGAAACAGTATTTGTGTGCAGGCAAGCGGGCCGTGGCACTGGCTTGCTTACTGCAAAATACACTGGAACAGTCGCATTTTCTGGAACTGAACGAGCGGAAAAATTTCGGTGGAAGTCTGGCCGCGGCGAAACTGAAACACCGTCGACTTCCTAGGAGGCTATGAAGACTTGTGTTGGTTTCGTTTTACAGAAACCGTGGTAGTGTTTGTGGGCACTGGGTTGTGGGCACATTCACTACATTTAATGCACAATTGACATGCGTCGATTTCATTTGTGCGAGCCCTGTACCGTGGCGGGCTGTGTTTGTGTGTAGAAATGAACCCTGGGCTGTGGGCATTTTATTACACTCATAACACCATCGGCTGTGGCCGGAAAACCAGAAAATACAATGCTTATATGATTTTTCTGGGTCGCCATGGAAACGGCATTTATGTGCAGGCAAGCGGGCCGTGGAACCGGCTTGTTTACTGCAAAATACACTGGAACAGTCGCATTTTCTGGAACTGAACGAGCGAAAAGTTTCGGTGGAAGTCTGGCCACAGCGAGACTAAATTTCTATCTGCTGCGAGAGCCGGGATCGAACACGGGTCTCTCGCGCGAAGGCTTCGGGTTCCGCCACTGTGCCACAGGGGAGAACTACATTAGCTAACTACATAAGAAAGCTAGCCGCGGTTTTAGGGCTCGCGGCCTTGATGCTGGCCCGTTTCCCTTACGACTCGCGGACAGAAGGGGGAGGTCCACAGAGCTCGCCCAGTCCTCACTGTCCAACGCCAGGATAGAGCAGCAGGTCTCCTCTACAGATGCAGCTATCTCGTCGTCATTAATGGCGGAAGCGACGGCGCGCGGCGGCCGTTATCCATCAGTGAGCGACTCGAGTGAAGCTGGTGAAGCTGGCGGGCGAACCGGCGAGCTTTCACGGGCTGGAGAAGGCTCGGGGACCCGCTGAGTACGGCGCTTTTTTACGGCGCGGCACTGCAGCGGGTGGAAGTGCAGTCTCGCTGAAGGATGCCAGGCGAGTCCTCAGAGTCACCATAGGCAATCGCTCGCAGTGAGGGCAGCCGCCGTCGGCAAGCGCGAGAGCTGCATGATCCTCTCACAGGCAGGAAACGCATCACATGGCGGTCCCAGTCGCTGAGTGTGGCTCGGCACGAGCCACAGGAGGATGGCATCTTTAAAAAGACGCGGCTCTTTTAGATGATAGACGTGTGAGTCGCGGGGCGAGCACACACACACATACACACAGAGCAGAGTAAAGGATATATAGTACGCCGGAAAGCGCAGCAGGTACGGCGGCTGAAGGCGGCAAGGAGAAGGCCAGCGACTCCAGACTCGAGGGCTCGTCCCGCTGAAAGGCTTGCGTCGAACGGCGCGGCTTCTCACTCCGGATCCAGCG